CATTTATTACTGCACCTATAACCAACTTATAAGCCCCTGTAACTTCCCTAATATGGTTGTAAGTACAGTTGTAGGTGCAGTTATACTTGGTTAATAAGTACCATGAACCTCCAAGTAGCTTGCCACGACAGAATCAGGAAAGGGCAGACAGTGGCCCGGGATGGTTGTGGTCTGGGCGGTTCCTTTGTGTTGGGGAGGCTGACGCGGTCCGGACCCGAAACTGGAGACGATAACATCTGTCGGACGTCGTATTTTTTGAGTCTGTTTGCTGTGCGGGATGGCTATTGGCCATACAAGTCACTCCGTGGCCTTGCAAGATAGCTGACATCTGAGGTGTGCTGACAAACCAGGCCATGTTTGCAAAGCTTCTTTCAAAGGTTTAGGGGCTAGGGTTTGGGTTTTGCGTTTCAGGGTTTAGGGTTTGAGGGTTTAGGGTATGCCACTATACGGCCGTTGCAAAGGATGTTAGGCTAATGGCTGATGCTGTGAGCACCGCTTCGAACACTTTCATGCCACCTGTTTGTGTATGTGTATGTATATGTATATAAACGTTTATGTAGGTGCATATGCATATGTACATGTGATACAGTACATGTGTATTTGTAATAAACGGATAAGTAAGCATATACTGTACGTGCATGAAGTAGATGGTTTTCTATTTGAAGTCCCCAGAAGGACACCCCATTGATACACTCACCTATATATATATATACATATATAAACCGAATACAGACTCTTCATTAACAACAATATAAACCATCCCACATATGTGTACAATATATATGTATTTTCACACTGATCACAAAAGCTAGCGTAGCTAGGCTTAAGCGTAGTCTCTGCTTTAGCAGGTGGACCAGACAAACCCTTCAGAGTTGCAAAACAACTGGCAGTTTCGAGGAAAAAGGGGGTGGTCACTCTTGAATATGCGACCTTTGACCTTTGGATCTGCAGCGGTCTTGAGCAGTAGCTCGCCGTTTGCACGTCTTCGTACGTCGTTTTGTATCAAGCACGTGTTTTGGAGAGCAGAGCTCCGTGGACCTGGATCGCGGTCTCTGTGAGCGCGTGTTGCTCAAAATATACCGTAAAACGGGTGACGGGTAACATAGACGATTACATACAATACTATCAATAACACCCGTGGGGTATGATTGGGGTTACGCACGGATCTTGAGCTATAGGTCGCGGTCGCGGTCTGTATGAGTGTGTTCCTACATCTTCTTGTCTCAAGCGCGTGTTTTGGAGAGCACCGCGGACCTGGATCGCAGTCTCCGTGAGCGCGTGTTGCTCAGAATCTGCCATTCGCGCGTCCGTTTCCTACCAATCGCGTGTTTTTGGATAGCTCTTGAGGCCAGATTGCGATCTGTATGAGAGCATGTCTGCCAACTCCCCTGTCTGGGTTTTTAGCATGGGCGTACGGGGCGGAACTGTACGAACATGTTGCTCAAATCTTGTGGAAATTTGGTGTTTCGAAACAAAAGTCGTGTACATGTAAAGTGTGTAGGGTTTCTTTTGTGTACATAGGGTACATAGGGTACATAGGGTACATAGGGTACGTAGGGTACATAGGGTACATAGGGTACACAGGGTACATAGGGTACACAGGGTACAGGGGTCATAGGGTACATAGCGTCTGTAACATATATGATATCGTATTACGTGTGTAACATAGAAAGGCCAGATGGAAAAGAAGAAGAGGAATGGGGGAAGGCAAGATGGGAGGAGGAGAGGAGGATAAGGAGGAGGAAGAGGCGTGGGATCGTTGGTAGTGTATATTGCGTAAACTGTGAAGGAAGAAGACGCGGGTTTAGGGTTTAGGGTTTAAGGTTTAGGGTTTGGGGTTTAGGGTGTCAAGAAGGGTGCCGGGCGGAAAGGGGGGAAGATGGGGTCCTGGAATGGCTGCATAAAGCCAGTGTGTCGCCCAGACTCCAGGCTAGCTTTCGTTGTCCTCGGTTTTGCAGCTAAAGTGTTGACTGTTGAGAAAAACTCGGAAGAATTTATATATTATGTATATATATATATATATATGCATATCCAAACATAAAACCCATTTACTCAACCATGTGCATCTGACAGTTCTGTGCGAATGTGACCTTGAGACGATTTTTCGGCATCTCCCATGCCAGGGCGGCCTTGTACACGCGCGGACGCCCATGCAAGACATGGTGTCTTGGGCCGTATTGTTGCAGCCTCCAGTTTGGTAGAGATACAGTATGTCTTAGGGAGCAGCCACAAAAGACAAGCGCGTGTGAGAAACTACCACCACGGCCCGGCAAGAATGTGCGACACCTGGCAGGAGGAGCTTTCGCAACTCATTCAGGCCTGCCAAAACATGTTGAATCATGTTTGGACGTGTGATTGTGCTGACCTTTTGATTGAGGCATTTTGCAGCGACTGGCCACCAAGCCCCGCAACCCACACACACCGTCTGTATCAACCTCCCCCTCACCGTGCCTGATACGATGAATGGTTTTGTGATTGCTTTGGGCAGGTGCCCCTCACTGCTGGCACTGTGAACCGTGGTTCTGCCGCTGCCTTAGGTCCTGCACTGATGGTGATTTTGCCGACGTGCTTGTCGTGTTCAATGCCCGCCATCAGTCCGGACTTTTCCATTCCCCTGGGTGTGCAGGACATCATCGGTGCTGGCGTAGTTGCAAATGACTGGGCTGCATTTTGTGGTTCAGACCTTGGGAAGAACCTGGAAGAGATCCAGACTTTGCTTGCGCCTCCTTTGCAGTTGGGGGCCTCAGACAATCTGAGGCATGGACACAACCGCGACTGAGATTGGGGTGACAACCCCAGTACAGACAGAGTTTGCATCCGCCATTTCTGGAGTCTGCGGTGTAGGTCCTGGAGAGCATCTTCAAGCTGCAGAGTGCAGGTGCAGGAGCGCCTTCTGCGGTTTAGGGTTTAGGGTTTAGGGTTTCGGGTTTAGGGTTTAGGGTTTAGGGTGGTGTTCTCTTCATTGATGGGAAAGTGCCGACAGGCATGCAGAGCGCTCTCATCGACACCATTATGTGAGACCATCTGTTCGCGATGGGGGGGAAGCTGGAAGTGCATCATCTTATACACACCACAACATGCGACGGCTTTAGCCTTGTGAAGGAATATCTCTGTGTTGCACAGATGCCTCTATATAGACGTAGGGGTGGGTGTAAGGGCGTAGGAGCACGTCTCCCATGGATCCAAGAGCAGGTGTTGAGTTTGCATGTCTCAGAGACTGGCTCGACAAGTCCAGTTTCACCTGGCGCCTGCCAGAAAGTCGTGATGGTGGTATCTGTCTTATGTGAAGGTGCAAAATCTCATCTTAACATTTTGCGGCGTGCCGTTGGTTCGCTGGGAGCATCCTATGCTCAGGCCGAGCATGTACAGCTGAGTGCTGCAGCTCTTCAAATTCGACCTTGTTGCGCCAAGGCGACGGGAGACGTCACGGAAGAGCAAATGCCTGTTCCACAAGCCAAGCAACGCTCGGACAGCATCGGCGCCAGTGAAACAGAGGAAAAGGAGGAGAGAGAATAGAGAGAGCGGAGAGACGAGAGAGAGTCTCCAAACAAAAGAAGAAGCCTCAAATGATGAGAGATAGGGAGGGTGGCAGGGGCGCTTTTCGGAGGAGCTGGGCCTCTGCATGGTATGATTGCCTTGCCTGCTTACTCCATCTAAATCGGGTTTAAGGTTTAGGGTTCAGGTTTAGGTTTAAGGGTTTAGGATTTCGGGTTCAAAATTTAGGGTTTGCTTGTAGTCGTATCTCCGCATCCTCTGGCTCTCGCATGTCAGAAGAAAGGGGCACTCAGGGGGTATCAACTGCTGACTGTGCCCTGGACTTCAGACGCCCGGCGCCCGGAAGATGAAAAGAGGGAAGGGCAACCAGTCCTCATCAACGGACGAAGTACGTGGTTTGCGATGTCTATGGGTTTATGATGCCGTCCTTGGCTTTCTCACCTCGACTTCTGGCACAAGCAGTCAGCTGCTGGGCCTTGCGTTCCGAGGCCAAAGGTGGGCGTTGACGCCCTCCAACGCGTAGAGCGCGCGCAATGTCGGAGCCCTGTTGCGCATGGGTCGCAAGCGAGGAAGGGTCGCGAGGGAGTCCCGTACACGTGGTCGACGTCCTGCTATGCTTGTGATCCTCGCAGGAGCTTGTCGGCAGTCTCTGCAGCAGATGTCAGCATGCTTGTGAGCGCTGAACGCAGAACTCAAGGTTTGCTTTCGCCGCGCCCCAGATGTGATGTAGGCTCAAGGCGCTTGGCGCCAAAAAGGAGCTGACCCAGCCACGATTCGTGGCGCAATTAATTTCCAGAACGCCAGAGCCCGGGCCGCAATTGAGCCACGGGCGTACGACCGTTTGTGGGGGTCCTTGTTGTGAAGGGGTCCCTATGGGTGCCTACTATTTGGGGATCAACATTGGGGGTCCCCTATCTTCGCAATATCCCATTGCTTCCAGAGCTCCTTTTTGTTGGTTTTTTCACGCTTTCCTTCATACTGTGCAAGTGAGCTGCAGGCTTTTTGCTAAGGTGCTCCGGTAATGTGTGGAATGCTTTGGCAATCCAGGAGTTCCTTGAGCTTCAGCTGCTTCAGCTGCTTCAGTTGCAAGCGATCCAGTCTCAAGCTAAGGATATCCGGAGGTTCGCTGCTCTGGCACCTCGGGTACAGCTTGAAGCTGGCTGGATCCTTACCAAAAGCCCCTCTAGCATCTATGCTAGAGAGGAGAGCGTTCAGCCACTGCGTGCAACGAAAATGTGGGAGAAACTGCTTCTGTGAGGCCATCCCCGGTTTTCTTTATTTCTGTGCATGCCTCGGACATGAGCTCACATGCTGTGTTGATGTGTGGAATGACTGTTCGCACGGGTACTTTCCAAGGAACTGACTATTTTTCGTGAAAACCCACGACAAGCGCCTGGTGCCTTTGCAGCAGAAGGTTAAGACGAGCACCACTTCACCGACACAGCGAATCATGAAGCAAAAGCGGGGGTGAATATCCGAGCTGCCAACGTCTCAGGTGTCGGGAGATGTCAGTCCTCCTTCCAGAGCAGGTTCTGGGGACAAATGCTCGATATGGGGGTTTGCGAAATCAGGGGTAGCTTATTGGGGTCCTTATTTTTAAGGGGATCCTACTATTTGGGGGTCTATATTAGGGGCCCCTTTTCGTAAACCCCCATATGGCCAGTGGTGCAGAGAGTGTTTCCTTGCGAGTGGCTTCGGGCAGGTCATGGGCCCCCTCAATGAGGACCCGAGCTCTTGCCGGGTTGTGGTCTGCTCTCCTTTTGTGACGATAAGTGCATGTTGGACGGGTAAAGCTGAAGCCGGCGTTCACGGCAACCTGGATCTAGCGCCACCAAGGCCAGGCAACGAAGCTTTCGGCAATGGTAGCTGGGTAGATTCCAGGGAGGACTTCATGAAATGAAGATGCCTCCATTCCCTAAACCCGAAACCCTAAACCCTAAACCTCCTCCCATTGTCAGAGGAGCTTCGTGACAGCTTGCGGGCTGGTGCTCGAACTGGCCAGCGGGAGAAAGCTGCGAAGAGGATAAACCTGACCTTAAATGGACTTGCTCGAATCTTGGCTATTAGAGGCTGTGGGGCGTGTTTGTGTTTACAGAGAAGGAGCGGCTGGTCATAGTGTGAAATGATGCAAGTGCAATTGAGGTGAGCTGCACAGGTCTTGCTGAGTCTTTCCTTGGTTTTGTGACTGCACCTTCATTTGGGTCTTGGTTCGTGTTGGTGGGTTCTTTAGGTCGGCCCTCCTCCCCGCATCCTTGACCTCCTGGCCCTTTTGTTCACAGAATGTAGACCGTCAGCTTTCAGGGCGATCTATTCTCGGATGCAACGGCCTTGCCGGCAGTGGAGTCACCAAGCGTTTAGGGTTTCGGGTTAGGGCTTACGGGTGCAGCTGTGAGCGTTTGATTGTTTAGGAGGACTCAACCGGACCGACCGCACACGAAGGGAGGAGACGAAGGATACCAGGGCACACCTGAAGGAGACAAACTGAAACAAAGGCAAATGAACTCCGAGAACAGTCAGTCCACATTAAAGGAGACACAACGAGAAACGCCACCAATCGCCTGCAGTGCCCAGGAAGCAACAACTGAAGTCTCTAGCAGGGCCGAAGAGGAAGCTTTGTCTTGGCCAAGTGCGGGCTGGCTTGCAGGGTGCGATGTGGTGGGGGGATGGTGCCCGAATGTGGGGGGGGGGTTTTCGTTTCAATTGTGGTACCCTGCTCAGCATGCGAAGCCTGGGCCACATCTATTGCACATCTATTGCACATCTATTGCACATTGGGGGCGGGGGAGCGGCTTGCTGTAAGCAGTGTCCTCCGATCATTATGTTTACCGAGGCGCACCCTCCACCCCCCCCCCAGCCCCGCACCCCCAGCTAAACCAACTCATGTTTAACAGGTCAAGCAAAGCGTGTATCAACACACAAGGGCTGGACTAACACTGAAACAAGGGGGGGGGGGTGGCATTGTTTGATGTAATACTCAGTTCCGATCGTTATGCTTGCCCCGCCCCCTCACCTACAACAAAAAGCAAGCTCAAGCCACACAAAATGATAAAAGTAAAAATTATCATAATCGTAATGATAGTAAACAATCATAATAACAACAATGATAAGAAGAAGAAAAATAAGAAGAAGAACAAAACAATGAACATAAACATAAAATGAGAATAAGAATAATGATAATAATATTAATGTTGTTACAGGCCGAGCCAGTCACCTCCTTCCATGATGTGCTGGTCTCTGTGTGTGCGCCTGCGGTGATATGTTTGGCTTCAGGACAGCTTGGACTCACCGGATCAGTTCACATGCTCCTTACCTGGATTATCAAGGGGGGGTATGTAACCCAAGGTTCCCTATAACTGGAGTAGTTCGCCTTGCTCACTGGGGGTGAGCGGCGGTCTGAGTCCTGGCCAGGTTCGGTTCCTTTTCGAACGGCTTCAAGACCGGGACCTCGGATTTGGATGTTGTGTTCGTGGGAGCCATTGAGGAGAGCGCCATCACGATACTGCAGCGGCTCGCACGCAAGACGTCCGCTGAGCACCTGCGTTCGCCGAAGAGCACCGATGAGCGCTATCTCAGGAAATTCGCGGACCGCCTCGACAGTTTGGGATTTGATAACATTACAAAGATTTTTCAGGCACGGTGGCCGCTTTTGCGTTCCAGGGATGACATCTGGAGCGCACTGGAGCCGGTGTGTGTTTTCGCGTGCGCATCTGGGTGCATATCCTTGGCACGTAGTCCCATCAACCACCATCTAGCATGGTCGGCTGAACAAGTCTTGTTCGCAATCTCTGCAAGTGAGTCCCTATTAGTCTTCTTCTTCTTCTTCTTATTGTTATGATTATGATTCTGATTGTGATTCTGAATATGATTGTGATGATTTACTATTGCTATTACTATTCTTCTTATTAGTATTTCTAAGATTAAGTCGCAACCTTCATCCAGCTTTCACGTGGGACATGGATCAGGCAACTGTGCCCATTCTGAAGCTGACTGACCGGAAGGACAACATGGAGGCAGAGGAGTTGCAGGATTTCGTTGCAAGGGAGAGGGTGCGGTACTTGCAGAGCCGCTGCTGACGGGACCGCAGGTGGATTTTTGCATCAACAACGAGCTCGGGGTGAGGAATTCCCTGCTGCTCAACACGTGACTTGGGCATCAAAATTAGGCAGCGTCACGCCAACATGACGCCACTGAAGCAGCAGCCCAAGACATTCCTGAATCCACCCCAGACTGCCGGCCTCCGTAAGTCCCACCGGAGATGGATCATTCAGGCCACGAGTTCCCGCGAAGTGCCCCAAGGTATTGCAAGTACGACCACCGAGTGCTCCAGCTCGGGCGCTTGATCAAGGAGTGGGCAAAGAAGCATGAGCTTGTCGGCGTTGCTGACGGGTGCATCAACAGCTACTCGGCTTCAGGCTTTGTTCGAGGGTTGAAGGATCTTTTGCAGGGTCAAGGTTTCAGGGTTTAGTGTTTCCTAGGGCTCAGGCTCAAGGGGTTCGGGCTACGGGTTTGAGGCAGTCCTATCCCTCTACCTACCCCCCGTGGCCCCCCGCCCCCCCCGCCCATGCCCTCAGCCCTTAGAGTGAAGCGCGCATATGCGCACGCTTGCAAAGCAGATGGCTACATCTCGCTCGGAACCCTAAACTCTTAGCCTTCAGACTTAAGCAGGCAAATTGTGAGGCTGCTTGTTAGCATGTTGGAAAAGCAGCATTTAGAGCTGAGCTTGCATCTGCACACACACACACACTTGAGAGGGTGCATTGTTTGATGGCACATTCTTCACAATCACATCACAGAAGAAAAGCAAACATCAACGGTAACTCTTCATATGACACAGGCCCTCAAGCTGCCAGCTCCTGGCCCATGAGCAGCACAACACGGCAGGTACGTTTTGCTCACTAGCACCTGTCAGCTTCGTTGGCATGGCGACAGATGCTAGCTGCCATGCCCCCTGCTTTGTTGAACCGATTAAGCTCTCTAGCGCCATCATTGCACATCTCTGAGCGCGCACTCGTCTAGCAGAGTGCAGGAAGCCAGTAGGCACTGAATTTCGCACCAAGTCACGTTGCGTCAGGCCTCTGCCCAACCATTGCTTTGTCGGAACCCTTAACACCCTTTGGAACAGGGCAGTCAACACACATGAAGCCACCCAGGCAAATCACGACGCCAAGAGGAAAAAACCCTGCCCCTTTCTGGGCACACATGTGTCCAGGCTCCTCAGGTAAGGAGCTGCCCAAACCTGAGAGGTCAGGGAAAGGTTTGTCTGCCGAACTCGTTCTTGTCATTTTGTGTTTTTTTGTGTGTTTTTTCTTTTCTCTCTGGGCTGTTCGATGCAGCCCCTCTCGAGACATGCTGATTCAACTGAGGCACTACATAATCGATCAAGTCAAAGACCATGGATCACACTTGCCTTGTCCTTTTAAGAGAACTGGCAAAACACCAGGTCAACCGAGCTTCCAGTAGAGATTGGTGTTTTGTTGCACAGAGTTGAACCCTTTGGACCAAGTGAATCAATCAAATAAATCATTGAATCATCAAGCTTTCAGACAGCGACCTTCAAATTTCGACCGGTCGCCCAGCCACATGTCCCAAGGATCACAGGCTGGGATCAGAGTTGTCGCTCTGTCAGAAAGACAACCCAGTCACACTTGAGAGGGTGCATTGTTTGATGGCACATTCTTCACAATCACATCACAGAAGAAAAGCAAACATCAACGGTAACTCTTCATATGACACAGGCCCTCAAGCTGCCAGCTCCTGGCCCATGAGCAGCACAACACGGCAGGTACGTTTTGCTCACTAGCACCTGTCAGCTTCGTTGGCATGGCGACAGATGCTAGCTGCCATGCCCCTTGCTTTGTTGAACCGATTAAGCTCTCTAGCGCCATCATTGCACATCTCTGAGCGCGCACTCGTCTAGCAGAGTGCAGGAAGCCAGTAGGCACTGAATTTCGCACCAAGTCACGTTGCGTCAGGCCTCTGCCCAACCATTGCTTTGTCGGAACCCTTAACACCCTTTGGAACAGGGCAGTCAACACACACACGCTCTAGATCTTGACCGCCGGGATTTCTTCAAATGTCTTTGGCGGCACTTGCCCGCGGAACCCCAGACTGTGGCAGCGGTGCATGCGCAAGTGTCTCATGTGCTTCTACTTGCGACAGGTGGGGTATTGCTTGTGAAGGCAAGGTGCTTTGCTGAGGTATGCGCGTGAGGGTTATTTGTCGTCAACCCCCTGGCAAATTCCGAAGTGCTTTGTGCATGAGCGTTTCTGCACACGGCGCCGGGCCCTAAATCCCAACCGCATCCATCCTGGATCCCTGCCCACTTGTCCGATCCGAACGACGCAAGGCTATGCCTACATGCTCTTGGTGGTCTTTTTTCTCCAGAGTGTGCAGCCTCCCGTGGCACTTCGGAATCATTATGGAGCCACAGGGGATTTGAGCCATGGGACGAAAGCCCTTGTAAGGGGCCTTAGGGGTGATTTGGGGGCGATTTAGGGGCTACTGAGGTATAAGGTGTACATATGTACATAACTATATACATATACATATACATATACATATACATATACATATACATATACATATACGTATACGTATACGTATACGTATACGTATACGTATACGTCTACGTAGACATACATACATATATATGTATAGGTGTCATGTAGGGGAATAAGATTAAGGGCCCCTTCGAGGGGTCCCTCCTTGTACCCCTTAGTAAGACGAGCTCCCGAGGTGCCGAATCTTCAGGCCATGGACTGCGAGTCGGTTCCCGTGTCAGACCGCAGCTTCGCAGGATTCCAAGAGGCTGAACTGTTGCTACGTCGGGGTTTATTTAGGGGCTACTTGGGTATATAGGGGCTATATAAGGTGTATATAGGGTTATACAGGGGAAGCAGGTTGAACTGTTGCTTTAGTAGCTGCCCACATGTCGCAACAAGGCAGCAAGGGAACTCGTCATGTGTCTTGGCCGAAGACTTCTCTCAGGAAAGTGGGGTGGTGAAGACATCTGGGAAACCAAGTTCTTCTTCGATGCTGCGCTCTTAGCGCCTATCAGTACCCGGGCCTGCTCAACGCGTGAGAGGCGGCATGACCAGCATCAGGTCGAGAATCTCCCGAAGTCACAGAACCAGATGTCTATAGGCACGGCTTTCAGTGAGAACTCAGTTTACCAGCCCGAATAGAGAGCCTGCCAGTGCCTGGCAGGTGAACTTCTGGTGGGCTTCTTTCGGTTTTACACGCGCGAGTTCAATTGGCGGCAGCATGCAGTTTGCATGCGTCTGTGACGGCCCCAGAGAGTTGCGCATGTTCCGCACATGAGAACCTCCGACTTCCGACGTCGTGCTGCCTCAGAAGTTGGCAGCTCCATGGCAGTGCGCAAGGAGCCAAAGTATTTCTTACTGAGGCAGAAGCCTGGACAGTTCGTCGACAAGTACTCCTTGCCACTTGCTTGTGGGATGTGCTGTCAGCCAAGTCCGCCTCGCAGTCGTCAGATGTCGTCAGCACGAACTCGCAAAGCATGTCAACACATTCTCCGAACCCTAAACCCCAAGCCCCAGACCCCAAACCTAAACCCTAAACCCTCAACCCTAAACCCTAAACCCTAAACGCGAAACCCTAAGGCCGCTCCAGACGAACGAGGAGCAGTGGTACCTGGAGGATCCCTTTGATCTCAAGCACAACCTGGCAGGCCGTGGCACTTGTCACATCGCATGTGGAACCTCGGAAGACGGGCCTCCAGAGGGGTCCTCCCGAGAATGCCTACAAGATGCTTCAAGTCTGCACCAAAGCACTAGATGGCAGTGCTTGTCTCCATGAAACAGCTTGCGCCGACTTCTCGCAGGGAAGTGCAGCAGAGCTGGCAAAAAGCGGTTCGTGGACGAGATGCACAACACCTTGAACGTGCATCTTGGCTGATGTTGGCACATCCTCGTCGCACATTCCCGCAAGAAAGTTGCATCTTCTCGCGGGATGTGAGCGACCAGCAGGAGATAGCAGGGCATGTCAGAGCAGCAATGTGTCCTTCACAGCCTCACCTGTCTGTTCAGATTCAAGGCTAACGTCGGGTGGCCGATGGGCGAAGTGCTTGCCCCCACCGCAGGGCTACTTGGGCTGAAATGGCAAATCCAAAGCTCCCTCAAGAGATACGAAGCATGGCAGTAGTTTGGACCCCGTTGTCTCTGGTGTGTCCCCAAGTCAATTGGTATCGGGGATGTGTTGGGACAAGCGGGCTTTGTGGTGTTTCTTCGTACAAAGTTGATAGGCTAGTGGCTGCATTCCGGACACGACGCGCATCAACTGGGAGCACGAGTAGTCTCATGGCAATAGCATTGCATGGTCCAGCTAGTTTGCAAGATCGTCCTTTCAAGTCTAGGGAACTGGATGCGGGGAGCATGTGCACGGAGGCCGAATCAGGCCGAGATGGACAGTCAGCAGAATCTTGCTGGCTGCATACCATCGCTGTATCCCATCTGTAGCCCAATTCACTGTCGTAAGCTGTAGTAGAGTCGAAGACATCGACCGTTCGACGGGAAGGGTTCCCCAGGGTGCTTGTGGTATATATTGTGACAGCTCACTTGGAGGTTCATGGTACTTATGAACCGATGATAACTGTACTTGCAACTGTACTTATAAGCATAATCCGAGCTTCTGTTTAATTGGTGGGGGCCCCCCCCCCCCCCCAAAATAAGGAAGGCAGGGTTCCGCAATAATTGGACCATGGCCCTGCATTGATTCTCTATTAAAAACAATAGGCTGCAGATCCCTGAGGTGCTGTAGCTCCGCATCTCCGCAAGCAAAACAAGAAGCCTGCCGACAGATTTTTGAACCCCCCCAAAAAAAATTCCTTTAAATGTGGGGGGTTTGTCCCATACGAAATCCACCCTAATGGAAAGTAGTCTTCCGGCGGGCTTCCGGCCAAAAAAATTTCTTTAAATATGGGGGTATTAATTAAACTGATGCTCGGATTATTGGAGCACTTAAGAGGCTTACAAGTGGGTTCCAAGTGCAGTCATAATTGGTCAATAGGTACCATGAACATCCAAGCATGACACCACCGAGGCATGGATTACTTTATGAAGTGCCGCATTAGCCAGGACCGAGCGTTTGAGCAACGGAGCACTCGGAGCATTTCCATCCAGCCCTGCCATGACCATGTCTTTGCGCCATAGACGGTTTTCCATGTGCTTCTTTCCTGGCCTCAGAACGTGACTCCGCAAGCCCTACTTGAAGAGTTCGAGCAGTGCGATCTGGCCTTGGGCTCAGCCTCGATACTTCAGCAGTCGGACTTCCTCTTGGCATTAGCGTTGGCGTGTACGCAGTACACACACTCATCGGCCATGTATCATGTTGGCGTCTCGTTACACCTTGGTGAGCCTTTTTGCCCCTTGCGAATGCCAGCCTGCACGTTACAAGTGGCTGGCGTCTAGCTGAACTCGACGTTCGTGGGAGTGTTGCACCTGCGTGAGCGACGTGTTGCAACTTGGTGTGTCACCTAAACTCTGAATCCCTAAATTCCCTAAATTCCCTAAATTTCCTAAATCCCCTAAATTCCCTAAATTCCCTAAATTCCTAAATTCCCAAACAACACTTGTGTTTGAGCATTTGTTGGAGCTCTGAAGGTCAAGTTGCACTTTCCCAAGTCCGATGGCACAGTTCGTTTCAGAGCGGCAAAAATGGTTGCGCTGAGTTGGGGGGGGGGGGCGGGGGGTTTAGGGTTCAGGGTTCAGGGTTTAGGGTTTAGGGTTTAGGGTTTAGGGTTTGGGGCTCCTCGACCTGCTCTCATGTGAGAGGAACGCAGAGCACCCAAGGAATGCCACAAGCATTTTTGCAGTTTGGGGACGCGATCTCCCGCCGAAAAGCTCACGCAAAGAACGAGAAGCAACCTTGGCTGAAGAAGTCGGCGGTGGGTTCACGGGCTAGGACAAGAGATGGCAAGAGCATCGAAGGTACATCATGGATTGCCAGCTGCAGCTTCACTACAGTTTCTGCCCCAGTTGGGAGCGAGCTGCACAAGGCAAGTCCCCTCGCTCTTCCCCGCATTTGCCAAGGTTCACAGCACAGTCTGGCAGAGGCCATTCAGCAATGCCACTTCTCGACATATGAAATGGCTGCTCGAAAGGCAGAAGATCCCGCAGAGCAGTGCGCAGTGCGAAAACCGACCTTGTGCGTTAGCAGCCTAGGCTTCATATAAGATGCAGAAGCTTGGCTGCCAGTTTCTTCACGTTGTTCAGCAGCTGTTATGTTTGGTGCGCGCGCGCAGTGGCAACTGGCAGGCGGCAGGTTTTGGCAGCCCGCATGGGACAGACACAGGACAGATCTCTCTGCTTGCAGCTCTCCTTCTCTCTCTCTCTCTCTCTCTCTCTCTCTCTCTCTGCTCGCTCTCCCCTCCACTTGCTTGTTAGAACTCCAGTGGCCTTGGTTCGAATGTCCCTTCGAGCCCTCGTCTGCCACCCTGCCCCGCTTTTTCAAGGAGATGCCAAAGTCGGCCAGCGCTCCCGAGGATTCTCTACCTCTTCAGATGAACCGTGCCATGAAGGACATTGCAACTTTGCTAGATTACATTGTTGTATATTTGTATTCTTATTTGTATGAACATGTTTTTATTGTATTCCCATTAGTATATGATCCTATTGTTCGATTGTGCTATTTTTCTATACTTCTGTGATTCGATTATTCGAAAATTCTATTCCTCGACTGTTCTATTATTCGATTACTTGATTGTTTTATCATGCTACTATATTTTTCGGGTCATACTGTTATATAGTTATCTTCGTGTATTACTCTAGTATATTCTTTGTTAATATGCTACCATAGTATGATATTCGATCATCATATTGCCGAGCTTGAGAGTCGGGAGGAGATGTCGCAGGAGGCGGCTTGGACGCAGCAAGACAGTGCAGGGACCGCCACTCGCGGGTCAATGTCTTCGGACCAGTCATCGGACCCTAAACCCTAAACCCTAAACCCTAAACCCTAAACCCTAAACCCGAAACCCGAAACCCTAAACCCTAAGCCCTAAACCCTAAACCCTGAAACCTAAAGCCCTAAAACCCTAAAACCCTAAAGCCCTAAAACCCTAAAACCTTAAAACCCTAAACTCAAGGCCTAGGCCGCCCCCCCCCCCCCCCCCTACGTTGGGGGGCGGCGCCTAAGCGGAGGTCGGTAGCACCCACGATGGGCCCGGTGGTTCGTATTACAGTCAATGCCCTAAACCTGCACCCCTGAACCGCCTGACACTTGGCAGGGGGGGTGGTAGGAGGGGTGGTAGGGGGGGTAGGGGGTTGTCGGGAGGTGGTCGGGGGGGTAGTAGAGGGGGGGAGTAGTAGGGACTTGCCAGACTCTTGAGGCCTTGTCTGGGCCCTTGTGAACCTGCATTTCGAACGATCGCCGTGACGGAATGAAGAAGTTTTATGGAAAGTAAGCATGGATTGAGTTTAGGCCTAAACCCTAAAAGGAATAGGTTTGGGTGGCTTTGCCGCCTCGGACGGCTTGGGGTGGGAGAAAAGTGTTAGATGGCCTTCCACAATCGGGCCAAAGCTGCTCTTCGCGCCTCACGAAGCTTTCGAGCTTGTTCCAAAGCCTAACCTTCACAGCATCTAGGCCCTATCAAACCCAAAACCCTAGACCCTAAACCCTACATGCTTTTTGTGCTGCTTTGCCCTCATGCACAGCCACTGAGCATCTTAAGTCAAATGGTCATGGTCGGCCATTTGGAGCATGCCCGCCATAAGAAGCCGTCTGGCAATACTTTGAAAGTTATTGGCATGTCTAAAAGGAAGCTTCAGCAAATGCCAGCTGGCAGTGCACACCCAATAAAGTTGGCAGGATATTTGGACCCAGGGCACACATCAGCCCCATAAAATTTGCAGCAGTTCTTCATCCCAACGCACGCGCTCTTCTCGCCCCCTTCAAGCCCTAAACCTAAACCCCTATACCCTACCCGAAGAGTTGAAACCCATGGTGTGGTGGAAATGCTGTTGCTGTGAACCCTAGCACCCTCACCCAAAACCCTCATCCAGCAATTGCTGCTTTCTAAAGCTTTGGCCTTTTGTGGCCAGTGGTTTCTTCTTGCTTGCAAACCTTACGCAGTCAAGCCGTGCCGCAGACTGCGTCAGTGGTGCAGACTGCATCTGTCAAGGCCATGTACAGTGCCTTCGCCGCCAAGATACCACCGCCGCCACCACCGCCGCCTCCTCCAGCGATGATGGATTATCAGATGCAGGTGAGCTACGCAAATTGTTATCACATTTTGCTTCACCTGTGTCTTTGCACTGGACCATGGATGGCTGAAACGGGTTGAGCCGTTCACATGCAGGACCCAATGGCGAAACAGCTCCAGATGCGCCCGGTGATGGCCAAGGTGCATGGCCTCTTGTGAGTCTGCAGCCCTAAACCCTTAAACCCTTAAACCCGTAAACCCTTAAACCCTTAAACCCTTAAACCCTTAAACCCTTAAACCCTTAAACCCTTCAACCCTAAACCCTAAACCCTAAACCAGTTGTTTCATGTTGTTTTCGTAGCTCAGGTCGATTCGGGCATGCCTGCATGGCCGCCTCCCAACCATATGCCACTACATGGCATGCGACCGCCGGGGGCACCGCAACTGGGTGGACATATGGTGTTCAGTGAGACCGCTTAGTGTTTTAGGGTTTAGGGTTTAGGTTTAGGGTTTAGGGTCTAGGGATTGGATTATTTCTGAATTTTCCCCCGCAGCTCTTCTTGCTCAGGCCTGCTCAGCCGAAGACAAACGCGCCTCCACCTCAAGTACGACAGCAGGTGGGCCATCGACAAGTCTTGAAGACTACTAATGCATCACAACAAAATGCTCCACGGGGACGGCCCCCAAATCGCACAGCCGTGCACGCGCCCATCCTGCCAGGTTCCCAAGAAGGACAGGGACTCGGACTTAGTGCGGCGATGCTCAGTGCATTGCTTGCCTGACTCTTGGGTCGTCCTTGCAGGAGCCTGCAAGGCCGGAGAATAAGAAGATTGAGACCAAGATCAAGAAGGAACCAAACGCTCCCTGGCTCTTCATGGATCCTCTGATGTATATTCTGAGTTCTTGCACCTTCCCCTGTGCGTCAAGGCTTCTGCATCAGCACCCTCGTCGGCAAAGGCTGCAATGAAACTGTCTGCCGTAATGGACTTTTTCACAATTTTTGTCAGTCATCCCCAACGTACGGTTCATTCTCGCAACTGGAGCTCTTCAAGCGCAGGGCAGTTTCAACAAGAATGGTATCCAGGTTCGCCCTGGTGGGCATCCAGAACCAGGAGAGTGCTGGCTGGAGGTCGCTTGACATAAAAGTTGGCCAGCTCGCCAGTCCCTATCCAGTAGCATTGAGGTGAAGGTCACAAACAACCTTTCTCCCGAAGTGTGGAACACGGAGTGCTGGCCTGAGCTTCGTGCGCATCTCTTGGTGTCATGCGCTTAACGCTGTGTTCAGCTCGGTGAAAGGTCACTCGTAGCCTAGCTGGGGGACGATTGGAGACGGCTGAAAAGCAGGGAATAGAATTGCTGAGACTGCTTCAGCCCGTTTGCTGTGCAGTGGCCCTTCACGCTGGCAGGGCGCCGGAATGAAGTCTCTTTGCTCGCAGGCCTGTTGGAGTCCTCGGGGGCGGTGTGGGCGGCTTCTTTTTCGAAGCTGGGGGGCTCCGGCTCTTCGCTTCCTCTGGCCGCCGAGCCTGGGACCGGTCGGGGGGTCCCGGGGTGCCGGGTGGACCATTGGTGCGCAGAAACGCAGGGGCGGCTGGCTGTTCCAGGACCGAAGGGCAGCAGTCCTCCAGCTTCCCCGCCCTTCCGTGTCTCTTGGGTTGTCCGTGTTCCATGATAGCACCGCAGACCAAGACCAAACCTAAAATTTGAGTCATTCGGGCATTCGGCAGAGGCCAAGGACCTAGCCAGTCCCTCGGCCCCCCAGGACCAACCATTGCCACCGGATTCTTCCTGGGGCCGGGTTGGGGTTCTGGGGGTGTCCCGCATTTGCCGGCCCCTACCGGCTTACTTGAGGAGGAGGATTCCCCAGCTTGACCCTGTTCTTGAGCACTGGAACAGTTGGGAATAGTTGGGACGTCCTCGCTCAGACCGGAAGACGGCAGCCCAGGGTCTCTGGGCGCATCTCTTCTGGCCGTGCACACCAAGTCGCAGATCGTCCCGTTCATATTTCACGACCTCGCTGCACGAAGGTGCGGGTCCCGTAGGTGAGGCCACCCCCAAGCCTCAGTGAGGTGAGGATGGGTGCAGGGTGTAGCATAGCTTTTCTGCAGGGCAGTGTTTGCACTCCAGCAAGGGTTTTATCCAAATTGGCGTCTGGCCCCGAGACGTTCCTCGCTCGAAAAAGGATTAGGTAGACATATCGCCACCATCAGGTGTCACGGACATGAAGGCCAGCAATTCACGCATGAAGGAAGAGGGAGGTACTTCTTTCAATTGAGGAACCAAGTTCCTCCTAGATATGGCTGTGCCCAACACATTCTGTTCGTCACGGAAGGATACGGTGGCGCCTTGAAACTGGTCAAGCTTCAAAACCAAAACCCAAGTGAATGGCATCAAGAGGGGCTGTCTCCTGTCCGCGTAAGATGGAATGACTGTGGGTGTTTTCCACAGTGCCCATCTCAGCAGCAGTTTTATCGTCTGCAAGACAGAAGATAAGGGGCTGCGTATGTATTTTTATCCTGATGGTTGTTCTCTGTTTTCTTTCTTGAAGATAAGTGTCCCATGAGGCCGTTCATCAAGCTGAAAGACCTGCACTCGTTCTTCCAGAAGCAAATTGGCAGCAGCAATTTTTAGGGTTTAGGGTTTAGGGTTTAGGCACCGGTTGTCATTACAATGTCAGCCCACGTGGCCTTGCACTGAGGTACGGTTCTGTGGCATCTTGGACGCAAGATGCGCCGAAGCGTGTTTTTTTTTTTCAAACCCCGCGAATGGTAACGAGAAAGCTCGAGGGTTCTTATTTGCAAAGAAACCCAGAGCCCTAAACCCTAAACCCTAAACCCTAAACCCTAAACCCTAAACCCTAAACCCTAAACCCTAAACCCTAAACCCTAAACCCTAAACCCTAAAGACATCTGATGAACATCTGAAGGACATGCCGGACGTGCAGCCGGAAATCAAGCTGAAAGTGGAGGTCAACGACGATTTCACAAAGCTGCTCGGACGCCGACCGAAGAGAACACAGACAAACCAAGTGGCGCTCATGCTGTGTAGAGTGGGGAGTAGAACGTCTATTGGAAACACATATGTATATACAGATCTACATATATTCCTATAATTGTTGCATATCTATGTACTATATGTATATGTATATAAGATATGGCTGTCGCCCGGAGCCGGGCGCACGCAAGAGGGAGTTTTGTTGATTTTCCCGGCGGGGGGAGGGTGAGAGTGTCCAACCGCGGGCCAGGATTGGTAGTTTGTGCAAGAAGATTTTTTTTGGTTCTTTTTGCAGGAGAGCTTTCGACAATGAACCCCCAAAGCACCTCGCCGTGCCCAAGCCCTGATTTAAATAGTTCTGGGATGTTGCTTTGTTTTTTGTTTTTTCTCCGCTGCTCTCTTCTTTCTTTCGTTCTTTCTTTTCTGATTTCTTTCTTTGCATTTTTTGATTCTTTTTATTCTGTCTCTTGCTCTCTCTCTCTCTCTCTCCTTTCACTCTCTCTTTCTCTCTCTCGTTTTGTTCTTTTTTTGATATACATGCTCACCCCCCCCTCCCCATGATCTAGGTCGGAAGGCCTTTCGGGCACATCAAAGTGACATTTAAACCTAATTCGGAATTTGTATCAAAAGGCCACACCCTCTGAGAAATCCTCTGGCCTCATTCGTAGTACAATTTTATTTAGAAATCAAGTTTGCCTATTAAATGCCGCATCCTATGAAATCCTCTTCTGGGGCCTGCCTGTCCGTAACAAAATCTCATTTTCTGCAGAGGTCAGCTTCTATATAAGAAGCCCACACCCTATGAAATCCTCTTCTGGGCCCTCTTCATGAAATTTCAGTAGACTTGTGTCTGATAGAGCCACAGCTTCGTTCGGAATGAACCCAAGTAAAACAAACATATGTAGAGTCCCCGCCCCACGACATCTTCTTCTAAGCCTCATTGGGCCCCATTCGTAATGAAACGTCATTTGATTTTGTATTGTAAACCCACACCCTCTGGGCTTCCTTCGTAATTAAACCCAAGTAAAGCAAGTGTATATGCAGAGGCCAACCCCAAGACATCCTCCTCGTTAGAATTTTATTTTGCAGACCACGCCCTATGAAATCCCTTTCTGGCCCCTAGTTGTAATGCAGCTGAATGAGAAGTCTGTATTATAAAGCCACACCCAAAGAAATCCTCATTAGAGCTGCGTGTAATGAGACTTATGTTCGATTTGCATAGACGCGAGTATTAAAAAAGCAACACCATTCTAGGGCCTGTTCGTAGCAGAATCTGATAAGAGAACTTTGTATCATCTTCTGAGCCCCATTCGTATTTAAATGTACTTACAATTCCCTATTCAACAGCCGCACCCCAAGAATCCCTCTTCTGGGGCCTCTTAATGAAACGTCAATAGGCTTGTGTGTGATGAAGCCACGGCTTCGTTCGTAATTAAACCCAAGTAGGGCAAACATATTGAGAGGCCACGCCCCAGGACATCCTCTTCTAAGCCTCAATGGTTATTGCCTATTTTGGAGTTTATTATTGCTGACCACACCCTCGCTTCGTAATGAAATGTAGTTTGAGGCTTGTATTTAAAAAAACACCCTGAGAAATCCTCATCTGGACTCGTTTGTAATTCCACTTAAATTGAATTTTAAATTAAGAGGCCACACCCCTTTGGACAGAATTTAATGGGCCACACCCTAAGATGACATCTTGTGAGCCATTCGTGTTTAAATGTACCTAGAATTCTATATTTACAGGCCACACCCTATGAAATCCGAACACCTAAAATCCAAAAAAACGCATGGCTTTTTTTGATTTTTCCAAAGAAAACCCAAAAAACCTGGAGAAAACCACAAATTCCAAAAACAGCGGTGTCCCGGCTTTATGGTTTTGAGTTTTTGGATTTTTGGATTTTATTTTTTTGGCAAACGTTGCAAAAAAGAACATGCTTTTTGCATACAATTCTGTGTTTAGAAGCTTGCCCTGTGCAAATAATTCGAAATTGCATTTTCGCACGTTTTGTCGGTGTTTTTTTTGGTGATGACGTGCACATAGTGCAAACACGCACGTTTTTCACTATTTACAGGTTTTTTTCATACAAGCTTAGACGTGCAGAAACAGGACTTCGCCGTACATACCCAGCGTGTCATTTTCATCGGTATTTACGAGGGTTTTTATAGGGACAAAGAAAAACCTAGATCATGGGGGGATGACCATATATATATATATACATATATATATATGTGTATCTCTCCTTCTCTCCTTCTCTCCTTCTCTCCTTCTCTCCTTCTCTCCTTCTCTCCTTCTCTCCTTCTCTCCTTCTCTCCTTCTCTCCTTCTCTCCTTCTCTCCTTCTCTCCTTCTCTCCTTTTCTCTCCTTTTCTCTCCTTTTCTCTCCTTTTCTCTCCTTCTCTCTCCTTCTCTCTCCTTCTCTCTCCTTCTCTCTCCTTCTCTCTCCTTCTCTCTCCTTCTCTCTCCTTCTTCCTCCTCTTCTTTCTCTCTTCTCTCCTTCTCCTTCTCTTCTCTTCCTTCTCTCTTTCTCTTCTCCCCTTCTCCCCTTCTCCCCTTCTCCCCTTCTCCCCTTCTCCCCTTCTCCCCTTCTCCCCTTCTCCCCTTCTCTCCTTCTCTCCTTCTCTCCTTCTCTCCTTCTCTCCTTCTCTCCTTCTCTCCTTCTCTTTTTCTGTTTTTCTTTCTTTCTTTCTTTATTTCTTTCTTTCTTGCTCTCTTTCTCTCTTTCTCTCTTTCTCTCTTTCTCTCTTTCTCTCTTTCTCTCTTTCTCTCTTTCTCTCTTTATCTCTTTCTCTCTTTCTCTCTTTCTCTCTTTCTCTCTTTCTCTCTTTCTCTCTTTCTCTCTTTCTCTCTTTCTCTCTTTCTCTCTTTCTCTCTTTCTCGCTCTCTCTCTCTCTCTCTTTGTTTTGTTTGTTGTTTGTTTCTGTTTCTCTTGCAGTCTTTTTAATCTTTATCCTTTCTTTTCTGTCTTTGCTTTTTGGATCTTGCTCTCTCTCTCTCTCTCTGTCTCTTCTCTCTCTATGTCTCTGTCTGTATCTTTCTCTCTCTCTCTTTCTCTCTCTCTCTCTCTCTCTCTTTCTCTTTGCCCCTCAAACCCGCGCATCAGGAGCATCAGCAGACCCCCCCGAAGCCATGGGTGTCGATGATGCTCACTTCGGGGGGCGGGGCAAGCGTAACGGGGGTAGGGGTTGGAGGACGCGAAACCTCATGAAAAGAAACGGTATACGCTTTGGAGCGCTTCGGGGCCGCGGGCTGGGGCCGCTGAGGGGCAGCCTCCAAAGAGGTGAGGGGGGCGGGGCGGGGCGGGGAGGGGAGGAACGGGACGAGGTGGCTGCTGTGGCTACTGTGGGTGAGGGCGGTGGGAGCAGTGAACGTTGTGGGGTGGGCGTGTGCTGCCTTAGAAAAGCGTGAATGAGGGAGGGGAGGGGCGGCGCAACAGGGACAAAGGGACCTGAACGCAGCAGCAGCCTCTGAAGCGGTGTGGTGGCTACTGGGCGAGGGTGGGAGCCCTGTAAGAAGGGTGTGTGTGTGTGTGTGTGTGTGTGTGTGTGTGTGTGTGTGTGTGTGTGTGTGTGTGTGTGTGTGTGTGTGTGAGTGAGAGCAGCGTGGAGTGTAGAGGGGTGGGGGAAAGCAAGGGGGCAGGCGGGCGTGGGTGTGGGCTGGAGCCCGAATGCAGTCCAGCAGGGGCGGGAAGCGCAAGGGTGGCGTGGCGAAGGGGGGCAGGCAGAAGCGCTGTGGGTACTGAGGGGGGTGAGGGCGCTGGGAGCGGTGAGGGCATGAAACATGCAAAACATGGGATGTGAAAGCTTTACTGGCGCACACCCGCAGGGGTCGGCGGATATGGATACTATGATTATTATTATTATTATTATTATAATTATCGTTTTTTAAATGATGCAACAGCCTGAAGCAGAGAGCTTAGGACTGGTGCGAAAGAGCCATTCCTCAGCGCGGAGCAGCACCATGCTCAGATACGCCGGAGCACTTGCGACTCACGATTTTTTCTCGCATTTGCGCTGTTCTTCGTGCGCCTGCTCTAAGAGCACTCAGGTTTCAGTTGGTGCGAAATATACAGCAGCATCTGGAGCGGCATATGCCCAAAGCCGTTTCAGTGACCTGAGCAGGGCATCCTCTTGGTCCGTGAGGGACACGAAGTTTAGGGTTTATAAGGAGTTCGGGTTTAGGGTTTAGGGTTTAGGGCTTAGGGTTTAAGGTTTAGGGTTGAAAACGTTCTCATGGAAGTTCCATGGAAGGGAGAAGTTTTTCGAAGGTGCTTTGCGTAAGTGCTCTTCGTAGACAGCTTGTTGCTGTTTGAGTCGGATGGAGTCATGGAGCTCGAGGTTGCCACATGCCCCTCCCACTTTAACGTTTCGTATAGCGATCGACTTCCACTGAGTTGATTGTTTAGAGACCATTTTAGGCAATTTCGGCCTGTGGGGTAGTTCTCCAAATTAGGGTCCGCTGGTGGGGATCCTTTTTTGTCAGGATGCCGTGCGGGGACCCAAAAAGGCCCCTAATTTCGGGAGCTACCCACGTTCAGATTGTGACTTGAGGACTTGAGGCTCGCAGCCCCCCGTTTTCGTGAGAATTGAGAGCTGCCGAGCTGCGAGCTGCTTGTAGACTCTGACTTGACCCTCTGCGCTTGTTTGAAGCTCGGCTAGCTTGAGTGAGTTCCTTGGTACATTTTGAGTGCTGACGCGATTTATCCTGGAGAAAGATGCCTTGCTTGCAGCTGTGCAGAAAATGCAGAGCCGAAGCACTGGCGCAGAGTTTGAACCCAAGCTTGACGGAGCTGCACGCTTTGAGGCTCCGTATGCTGACTGCCGCCGCCTGCGGGACGGGGCTCTTGCCTGGGCCTCTGCCGCACATCTGCCTCCGCCAGCCTCATGCAGTGGCTTTAGTCATATGAAGTAGGGTTTATATTGCTGTTAGTGGTGAGTGTATATCAGGTTCCTTTTTACTGGGTACAAGAAATATATACCCTACTTCATACAGTCTTTGTGTGCATTGTGTGCATTGTGTGCTCAAGCTCGAATTCAGGTTCTTCGCTGCAGGTTATGCGGCATCTGTGCAGGCAGATTCTTCGGGTTTTTTGTTGATCTGCCCTGCTTCAGGCTGGACTTATTACGCAAGCCACTTTCCCTTGTTGCGCGCGCTTTCCATTGCAGGCCTTCGTGAGCGCACCTTGGCAGGAGCCGCGTGTTTTTGTGAGAGTTGCATTGTCTTTGTGTGATGACAGAAGTTTCAATGCTTCCGGTGAGTTCAGCTTCTCTTGTTAGACGTGTGCAAACTCCATTTCGTTGCAGGTGGCTCAGGCATGATCTGCCATTTCAATGCATTTTTCCATGGAGAGGATGTCCGCGAGCCCAAAATTGCCCAGCGCGTGTCGCACGGGGGCTACGCCCACGTCTGGGTGCTCAGACACAAGCCCCCCTCAACACCTGCCAAGTTCGGCTGCGTGGCCCAAGAGTGCGAGATGGGAGAGCTTTGCGAAACTGCCGCACGAGGCGAAATATCGTGAGGAGCTCCGATCCATGACCGATGAGGAGCTTTATGAGACCATAGCGAAGGGGCCCATAGCCAAGGTTCTTTGTTTTTCTCACGATTCGTCGTTGCTTCTGCCTCTGCATTCGACTCGAGGCGTAGAATGACCCTGCATCATCGAATGGAGGAGCTTGTGCTTGCCGCGTGTTGCCGCTGTTGGCCTCATGTTGCGGGGCTGTTGCGGGAGTGGATCTCAAAAGATTCCAAAAGCGCCCAGAAATTCCGACGGAAAGCGCCATCAGCCGGCAGCTTGTACGAGTGGCAATACAAGATTGCCAGAGCCTGACCTGCCACCATCCAGAAACCATGCAGAATCAGAGCTTTGTCGATGAATCGATAAGCCCGCCCGACACGGGGCCAGTGAAGTTTGCAGCTCAGGCGCTGGCCAAGACTTTCCTCAAGCAGCGAGAGATTGCTGCGACAGTCCCGCCTGAGGACTTGCTGCCGTCCTTCCGGTGCATTCTCTGTGAGCCTCGTGCTGCGATGTGTTTCAGGCAGGGGAGCCTCTGTCGGAAGACGCGCCCGTCCTCGACCCAATGACATTGAAAACGGCCACCATGGCAACCATGGCCCACGTGGCCTTGCCAAGGATCCATCCGGTGTGCATGCTGTGTGAGTTTTGTGGTCTGAGGACCGGCCAACGCTTGCCGAGTGGATGAAAGAGAATGAGGCTGCACTGATCAGCTGCCCATGCTCCTCACCTCTTAACCACCTCTTTCTCATGCTGTCTCCCTTTCGGTAGAGGACTTGGAGATGGCCGAGAACGAGTGGTACGCGCGGCCAGGTCTGACTGGAGTCCTTCAGTGAAGTATCACACCAGCAATAAGAATCAGGAGAATAAGAATAAGAATGATAATGAATATGAATAATCAATCTTATACTTGTTGCATTGAACTTGTTGCAATTCTCTGGAAGGCACAGGGCCATGGCTGACGTTCCAGAAGCTGGAGTATCCCAGAGAAATCGCCTTCGAGAAGAGGTGGCCTGCTCATCTTAGCAGGTTCATCCTAGCAGTGGCTGTCTGCGAGGTGCAGTGCTAGTATGTCTGTGACTGTCTGGATTTATTCCTGGGGCCGAATTTGTCCCACATATCAAGACCAATTTGGTGTCAAAAAACCAAGGAAGTAAGCTCTCCTGCGTAATTGTATCAATTTGCAATAAAAACAATAACAATCATAGTAATGACAATAATTTTTAAATGATACGAATAAAATAATAACAATAGTAACAATAGTCAAAATCATAATAGCAATAAAAATCATAATGATGGTAAACATATTCACAGCAATAATAGTAAGAATAATCGAGCTCATAGTTGTCACGATTCGTGGCTTCCACTTGCTGGCTTGTCCTTAGCTTGCGCATGGCTCTTTTGGGGGGGGGGGGGAGCTGCAACATTTCCTTCGTTTCAGCTCCCCAAGGTGGGTGTAGGGTTTAGGGTTTAGGGTTTAGGGTTTAGGGTTTAGGGTTTAGGGTTTAGGGTTTAGGGTTTAGGAGTCAGACCTGTTGGCTCCGGAGACTCTCCCCTCTTCTCGCAATTCTTAGCTTCCCCATCTCTGCGGCCAGTTTAGATTTTTGGGACTTGCTTAAGTTACTTAGTTTTTGCTTTGTGTCTGTCTCTGCCCCTTGCTCTGCCCCTTGTCTCCCTTTCACGATGGATTGGGTCTGTCTGTGCTCTTTAGAGCTTCCTCCTCCCACGCCCTTTCTTGGGGGGCGTCGATGGGAGCTGTTTCGACATCTTTGGAGAGGTATTACGAGAAGTATGGCAAGGAATACCACACCAAGACTCAGATTGGTGCACATGGCTCAGTGCCAGGGCGCTTGTCCAGTTGCCATGCTCCATGGTACACTCTCTGCGCATTTTGGCAGTGCTCCAACCTAGGAACCCTTCAAGAAAAAGGTCGTCGACCTCAAGAAAGCCCGAGCGGAGGCCAGCATGGCCACTCTCTCCTGCCCTGAGCCCATCTTGATACACTACATGTCTGTGACAAATCTTCTCGTCAGGCGCGAAAGGCAAAAACTGCAACAGAGGCCGTACCCTCCCTGCCACAGGCCGATGTCATTGGCGCTTACACTGTGCAACTCGAGAGTTGGCAGTCGCTGAACGGCGCAGGTCCCGGGAATGGGCAGCTTGGGTGCTGCAGTGTCCGCAGCTGAGCAGCGTGACAATCTGAAAAGGGTTGAAAGAAGTCTGATAAGTGCGTTGAAAAAGCGTTGGAAAGCGGTTAGATATTCATACAAATATTTTCAAACAAGTAGAAACATGACTATGTACGGATATAGATATAGATATAAATTTAATTATAAATATAAATATAAAACTATACATATATATATATACACACATAAAGAGAGAGATTTATATATATATACATAAATACATATATGTATATGTGAGAGAGTCATTGCGTAGTCCATGCTGCCGAGGCTTGCAGGCCTCGGTCTGGCAGCAGCTACCCGAGGCCATCTTCTGCTCTTAGCCCTTTCTCAAGGGGGGGAATCGACTCGGATCTGCTGCGATCTCCTGTGATCCACTCTGATCTGCTGTTGCTTCTGGTTGCCATGTTAATGGAAACTCGTGGAGGACCATGCCCAAGAGACCACCCAAACCTGCCCCCGCAAGCCACAGAGTATTCGCAGGCCGCCGCTGGTGAAGAAGTCCCACTCCTTGCAGATACCGCAAAATCTGGCAGCTGCAGCAGCGATTCACGTTCTTCTCTCATCAAGGCGGTCTCAGCAAGGTTTCCTGCTTTCCGCAACCAGCACAGCATCCGGACAAAAGACCCAGAGCTCCGGTACATGCTGCACCGCAAGCACTGCTGGGTTCGAGCGCTTCAGTGCATCTTGCGCCAAGGCATGTACATGTGGTGGTTCACGCTGACATGCTCTGCTCCGCAGCAGGCTCTCTGTTCTGCGTGATCCCAGCCATGCTTTGGTGCAGTCACGGTTGAGCATGCGGCGTTAGCCGCTTCCCGCTTAGCGCAACGCCGATGGAGTCGACAACGGTGCCCCCTGAGTTGGGGACACTCGGTGGCCGACCATGTAGTCGCCTTCTCCCTGCATGGCATGTCACCTAAGCTAATGTTTTAGTCTTCTTTTACTTGGCTTCGTAGCAGAAATGGATGCCTGGAAACCAACAAAATTCCATTTATGGACTGTGGGGTTGCAGTGGTGGAAGGGAGGCAGGAAATTTTAAGGGCTTCTCAGGAACTAGTCAAAAGCTCGCGAGCCTCCAGACTGTTAGCAACCAGGAATTTGTGCTTATCTTTTTGTCCTCGCCCTTTCTCCTCGGGGGAGTTGGTCCCGACATTTGGGCTTCTCACATACGTCACTTGACTAATTGTCTATCAGTCACCAGTGATCGTGTCCATGTTTCCTATACCCTTGCTGCTGACTTGAAGACATTGTTTGAAGCCTGCGCTGAACAGAACCTACATAATGAGTCAACGCTTTGTCTGTCATGACCGTTAAAGACACACCATGCGCGCCATGATGCACGACAGCTGCTACTTTGCACCAGGGCAAGCATTCAGGCATCAACCGCGTGAAGGTATCCGAATTCCCAGTGGGCAGGTGACAGCACTGCTTTACCCTAAACCCTAAAACCTAACCCTAAACCCTAAACCCTAAACCCTAAACCCTAAACCCTAACCCTAAACCCTAAACCCTAAACCCTAAACCCTAAACCCTATACCCTATACCCTATAAACCCTAAACCCTATAGACGCTAAACCCTAAACCCTAAACCCTAAACCCTAAACCCTAAACCCTAAACCCTAAACCCTAAACCCTAAAACCCTACCCTAAACCCTAAACCCTAAACCCTAAACCCTAACCCTAACCCTAAACCCTCCCTAACCCTAACCCTAAACCCTAAACCCTAAACCCTAAACCTAAACCCTAAACCCTAAACCCTAAACCCTAAACCCTAAACCCTAAACCCTAAACCCTAAACCCTAAACCCTAAACCCTAAACCCTAAACCCTAAACCCTAAACCCTAAACCCTAAACCCTAAACCCTAAACCCTAACCCAGTGGCACGTTCCCAGTGGTGCACTACGTAAACTGAGTAAGTTTTGGTTCTCACAGTCGCCTTTGAAGATGCTACCGAGGAAGTGCGATGGGCCGACAGAGACAACGCAGCTTCTGAAACCCTCCAGAAAGACCGCTCCAAGTGGCACGGCCACAGGTGCATCGTGCAAGTTGAGTACCAGGTCAGGGTGAAACTGGCATACTGGTAGCAAATTGCAAAGCCGCTCCTGCACCATGTCCCAGCGCATTCCAGCGCCTTCGAAAGTAACCAGACTTACAGCTCCAAAGATGCTTTGTGCAATTGGTGAGTGAACGTTTTGCATGGCGCGAGGCGCCGCAGACAGTACCAGAGATTCAGCCTGATGACGGGGTCGTTCAAAGTATGCTCCACTAAGCCTGGGGTTGGCTCCACTAGCCCTGGGTTTAGAGCGCATGCGATGGGAGGCCCACAACTGACGCTGAACCTCATTGTCTGTGGTCTTGGCACTGGGATTTTCGCATTGCTTCGGACCCAGGGCATTGTGCAGCGTGGTTCATATGATATGACATGATATGGTATGAAATGACATTATCTTACTGTTGTTATTTAGTATTCTTGTTATTATTCTTATTCTTAGTCTTATTCTTATTCGTATTCTTGTTCTTGTTCTTATTCTTATTCTTATTCCCCCACCCTCGGTGTGGGGGTTGTTAGATTTTAGACTCAGCTCTTCTCCTCGCCCAGCCCAGAGTCTCCCTGAATTGAGTCTTTCTGGGGGTGCCCAACCCCAGAGTGTCCGCGGAGTGCCCACTAGAGCGCCCAACCCCAGAGTGTCCCGGACTGCTCACCAGAGTCTCCCTAGCAGTGTCCCCGGAGTGCCCTGGAGTGCCCAACCCCGAGAGTATCTCTACCAAGAGAGGGTGGGGATGTTCGAAGTAAAATGCTTCTTATGCTTATGCTTATTCTTATTCTTATTCTTATTCTTACTCTTGTTCTTATTCTCTTTCTTCTCCTTATCCTTATCCTTATTCTTATTCTTAGTCTTACTCTTACTCTTATTCTTATTCTTATTCTTATTCTTATTCTTACTCTTATTCTTATTAGTATCATTACTACGAGAATATTTATATGTATGTACTTTTAGAAGAGGTTATTTTCTGTATATTGGTTTGTTAGTCGTGTAGCTGTCAAGGGTGCGTTGCCAAGGCCTTGGAGCACGGCAGGCCACTTAACTCGCTTCACGATCAGGGGCTGCAATGATGTAAGGGTTTAGGGTTTAGGGGTTGGGGCCAGAGTCCTGGTGCGGACTTTGACAGCAGACGTCCTCGACCGGCAGTCGCAGCAATGTCGTGTAGCCACCGCTGTGTGAACAAATATGCGCAGCCGTTGCTCGCACTTGCTACTGTAGCAGCGCAGGGGGTGTACACGCATCCGTGTAGCCTTGCCAAGAGTTTCTTCAGTTTGATGCAGGTGCTTCCTGTACAGTTGGTGTACTGATTGTAGCAGCCGTTCTGTCGCTGAACGCCACTTCCTCAGATCGCCAGTCTTCCTGCCATCTGTGGGGGCTTACGATATTCGGGGCACCTTCTTCCTTGTTATCATGGGATCCTACGATTTGGGGGTTGAAATAAAGGGGTCCCTTGCTACCGCAAACACCCATGTCGCTTCTTCAAACACTCGCAACTTGAGGCTTGGACCATCTTCATCTTAATCGAGGCCGCCGAGATCCACCAGGCTTTTGACATCGGAACCCTTATGTCTCACCTGCCAGGGGCTCTGTCCTACTGTTGGTTCCTAGGGAATCAGGGGGAATGAGGTACCCTATGTGATCCATTAAAGGGGGTGTGAAAGCTGCAGAAGTTGCTGCATTTGTGAAATGTTGTGCAGTGAACTTGTCGGCCCGAGGCCCGGAGCTCTGGGGAGAGTGGCTCCCAGTGCAGTGAACTTCACCATCTGGAGCCTCAGCTGCCCCCCCCTGTTTTTTTTTGGTGGGCCCAGCATGCGGGAGTGGGCATTCTTTCGGTTGTGTGCTGGCCGACTGCTCAGGATCGGAGGCTTCCTTTGCCTCGTATCCTACGTGATTGTGATTGCGGGCTTCTTGGTTGTGCTGGGTCCTGCCAGCCGTGATAGCGAGGGCTTAGTGCAATCAAGAGAGCGCTCTCTGCCAGAACCATGCAACAGTACCACTGCCACGGACAGCATCGCACGTTGCAGGGTGACCAGGGACAAGGGCGAACGGAAGCGGATGCTAGACGTTGTTCACTCGTATTCGCTGTCATTCCGTGTGTTTCGCAGTGATTTGCTGTCGAAGGCCGACTGCGCTACCCCCTTTGCCGGAGATGAGCACTCCTGGAAGCTGAAGGGCTTGACTTCAGTGCTGGCCCGAACCCTCAGCTCCTTTGCCTGGGACTGTCTTGCGCATACTGTAAGCACATCGACGTAGACGCACGTGCGCCTCCAGCGGTCCAAGGTGCTGCCGATTTGCTTCTTGGAGATGGCCTCAGCTGAGCTCGGCAGCGTGAGAATCGCCGTCATGAGAGTGCGCAGCTTGCTGACGGATGCGATTTTCCTGCCAGCGGCTCTGTGCACAATTGTCTGGCTCCAGGTGTGTGTTCCGGGTGTCGTACATAATCTAGGCTTCTCGTTGCAATTGACACCAAGGAACAAGCACGCACAGGGGGCGAAGGCAAAGCCAAAGCATAAGGCATCATCAAGGCATAGGCAGCCGTTTGGTTTGCATAGTCGGTTTAAGCCATGGCGGCCTGCATTTGCGATCCCCCAAGTCTGCAGTGGCAAAACGGGGATCATGCGCCTTGCATGGACTGGACTCCCCGCCTCCAGGGTCCTTTAAAAAACGAAGCTATTGTAAGCACTGTAACCTCAGCTTTTCGGGCAACGTCTCTGTTTTGGGGCAGTCATGGCCTCGGGGGAAGGAACCCTTGATGGGCACAGGTTACTTAGATGTTCCCTGGGTCCTAACTTCAGCTTCGTGGCTCGTTCAGTGCTTCCACATGGTCCTGATGGGTCCTGTCTAAAGCAGGCAGCCACCAGCAACAGATTCCGACCCCGCCCCAGAGTGGGACCCTCCCCTAACCCCAACGCCTGGCACAGCGTGAGTGCCTAGGAGTTTCAGGGAGGTGTCAGCCTGGCGTGTTAGCATGGTGCTCCCCACGGTTGGGTTCAAGGTTAAGCCCCAAAGAGGCACACAACGGTACATGCCCAAACCCCAGCTTCTTGGTTGACCCGCTGGTATGTGAAAAAGCAGAGGGAACCTCCACAGAAGTCCCTGGTTTCAGTACACTTTCGTCAGCTTCAAAAACCTGCAGCCTAGAGCTGCAAAAGCTCCGGTAGCCCATCGCTCGAGAAGGCTATCTCTTTGACCCTGACATGCTTGTCAGGGGAGTTTTCTCCACATATGGGGGGGTTTACGATACTAAGGGGCCCCAAATTTTTGTCCCCCAAACAGTAGGATCCCCTTATAAAAAGGACCCTCAATGCGGTAGCTCTAGCTCTAATCTCGGAAACCCCCCACATCTCTCCCCCATCCCGCTGAGGTCACCGAGGTGCTGTCTCAGGGTTCACCATCCGGTCAGCGCAGAATCTCGCTCCAGAAGTCCTTGGCACTCGACTTTCCTTCGACCTGGCGCCGGGAGGCCTGCTAGCATGTTCGAAAATCTTAAAAATCTTAAAAGCCTAAGTTCTGGGGTCGATGTCGATCGGATTACAGCAGCAGGCTGGAGGGTTGATGTCACAAAGCCAGTTGCAGCGTGAGGTGTCCGGCTCTGACTCACCAGCGTCACCATCACGCTTCCCCCTTCCCATCGGGCACAGCCTCGCCGAGAAGCTAGGAGAGCGCGCAGTGACAGTGACAATTGCCTTTGTACTTCTTAACCCATTAGAACCGTACGTACTTATAACTGTACTTATAACCCGATTGGGGCACTTAAGTGGCTTATTAAGTGGGCTCTGCGTACAGTTTTAATTGGTTAATACGTGCCATGAACCTCCAAAGTATCCCTCTTGTCATTGAGAAGGTGGCATGGCACTACCGTAAGACGAGCTGCTTCTATCAGCACTCACCTGACGCTCGAGGAGGTGGAAGAACAGGAGTCGTTTACAGAATCGTTCGGAGCTCCGACGGCGAGTCCTTGGCGGCGAAGTGCGTGCAATATCTGGATGAAGAGGTTCGAAAAATCACCATTCAGGACGCCTGTTTGCTTTCGAAAGAGTTGCGTCGTGGGAAGGCCAGCACTGGCCGCCCTTACTTGCTTGAAGTTTCATCTTATGCTAGGAGACCACCCCTTTAAGGGGTTGTGTCAAGTTGCTTGCGATCATCGAACCTAGCCCCAGCTTTTGAAACACCTTCTCCAACACGTTGAGCCCCTTGAGCCCCTTTGAGCCCCTTAGGAGTATGAGCTCTTGTCGTCCCTCAAGCACAGCGGCATTGTCCAGGCTTACAGTAGCTTGGCTTGACTGTTGCAGCAGGTCGCCCCAATTCCTCCGAGCTCTTGGTTCACGAAGCCCGGCTAAGCTCAGGCCTTCTCTGCACAGACAGCTCGATGTGTCTCCTGCTGGAGTTTTGCGAGCAAGGTAGCGCGCGCATCTCAGAGATCGAGGAAGGTCGTGTCCCCCACTTTTTCAATCCGGAGGGTTGATCTTGGACTTCTGATGGGCTGAGATGCAGCAATACCTGGAGCAGAATGGCCTCTTCGAAGAGAAATCTGCCCTTGGACTCTTCCGGCAGCTTATAGGACGGAATCGCCGAATGGTTTACGGGATGCTTTGGAAGCTCCTGCTCCAGTTGGCGCAAGCAGTAACAAGGAATTCACGCGATCATCGCACCCCGCAAACCCCCCTGCATGGAAGTGCCAAATCGGATCGCACGAGGCGCACAGCTGCACCAGTTCTGTCAGCAGGAGCTGTCGACTTCTTGCATCAGAGACGTATCGTTCACAGAGATGCTTATCTTGCACACATCCCTTGCCGACCCCACATGTCCACTGACAGTACAATGCGCTTGCTCATTCCCCAGAAACCGAGGACATCAAGCCCGACAACTGCCTCCTGAAGGATGGGGCACGAGCCCTGAAGCTCACCGACTTCAACAGCGCAAAGGCAAGCTCTTGGTTACTTGCTGCTTGAGTTTTGACGTGTTGACATGTCGTCAAAGCATGGTCCCTGCGCTGACTGGCAGAGTCTTATGAGGTGATCGGTCAAGGCGTCGGCAGCACGGTAATGCTCAGTGAGCGCGGCACGAAGGCCAATGGACCGTGGGCAGTTCCTGCGCACACAAAGAGTACATACGAAAATTAAGGGATCCCCAATATAGATCCCAAAATAGAAGGATCCCCTTATCAAAAGGGCCCCGACAAGGTACCCCGAATTTCGGAACCCCACATGTCAGCACCACAGAAACACAGTTGAGGGAACCAGGGAAGCTGGAGCTGATACGTTGGTGCCCTGTTTGCTTGCTTTTTGCCAGGATTTCTCCGCACCCGAATTGCTTCTAGGTGGTCTCTGGAGCCTTATGATGCAAGTTGTGGATGCCTTCAAGTTGTGCAGGACCGTCAGGGTTTAGGGTTTAGGCTTTAGGGTTTAGGGTTTAGGGTAGGCCTGTGTTTCGAGGAAGAAAGTTGCAGATGTTGAGTACAGTGCAGAGTACTTTCACTACCTTGCCTCAGCTGCTGCCCGCAGATTCCTAAGGAATGAGCGTGTCGATATCTGGGCGAGTGGTCTTTGTCGGAGTCTTACCAGTAACATCGGCCGAATCATGGCGTTGACTCTGTTGTTGTTTCTGCGACAGCCCTCCAGCTGCGGTACAGGCCTTTACTTCATGCTTCGCGGGTCTCATCCGTGGACATCTTTCCAACACGCGAAGAAAGCGTTCATGGCCGGATGCCTGCCGCAAGCTCTTCAACTGCAAGCTGCAGATTTTTCGGCGGAGTGGGTGAGGGTATGTGAGGATTAATGCATTATCGGGGCCCATTAGCAGGCTTCTTGTGGTTCCCCGAGGGTCGGATGGTCCGCCTTTTACGCAAAGAGGGCGTGTTTTGTCAGAATCATCGGAAAAGGCACCCGCTAACATCAACCCTGAAGCCTAAAGCCTAAACCCTCAACCCTCAACCCGAAACCCGAAACCCTAAATCCTAAGCCAATTGGAGCTTCAATCCATCTTTCAATTTTCTTGGTTGGCATCACGTGAGATGCATCTTTGCACCCTGGTGAGAGCCCACGGAAGAAAGGCTAGTTTTTCCAAACCTGGGGTCGCGGCAAAGAACCGCATTTTTCTCTTGTCCGCGAATAGGCAAAGGAGAAGCACAGAAATTCCGTCACCACCTTGAAGTACTTCAAGCTTCAAACCATGGTTCAACCTTCATTCGTATGGCACAATCGCTTCGCGAAAAAAGGCGCTGTTTCTGTGGTGAATCCGCGGAATGCAGGCACCTGCTTTGCCTTACCTTGGACTCACAGCAAAGAACCCCTTTTGTTCGCGAACAGCCAATATCACAGAGAATACATCAATACCTTTCAATATGTGAAGCTCGCGCCATTTTCCAACCCTTTGTTTCACATTATGCACCATGGTTTTGTGGAATAAAGGTGCCCTATGAGAGTCACTGCAAGAACCGACCTTTTTTCCATTGCTGAGTTAGCCAACCAGCACAGAATGAAACAAGTTAAAGAAAGCGCAGAACGTCACCTGTTTTAAACAACTAGAGCTTCAACCAATCTTACAATTTTTGGGTCCCTACGCAATGACATTGCGGAAGAATGACGCCGGTTGTCTGCACGCGAGAGAAGAGCTGTTCACGCGATTGCGGTACCAACAGCACAGAAGTCACGTCGTTTTTAAGCGAGTAAAGCTTCAAGCCATCTTTGAGGCTTCTTAGTTGGTACACAATGTCCTCGGGAAAAGCGGACACGTGACAACTCCTGGTACCGGTTTTGTGCCGCCCTCATAAGTAGCAGTTGGCTTAGTGGTTCTTGGTTTCATTCCGTAGTTTGGCTGCCCTTCAGAAGAAGTGGTTGGTCCCATTCGCTGACTTTTGCGCAGGTTGCATTTAGAGTCCCATTCGTCGTACCTTACGCCTCTCTTACGTACATAGCAGTCGCGCGAAAAACTTGTTTTGGTGAATAGGGGTAGACCACTAGCACAGAGTTTACGTGGAGATTTGCGTCAAGACACCTTCAATAGCATTCAAGGTTCCCAAAGCATTTTTCAAGGCGGCACAAGAAGCAGCGTCTATCTTTCAGCCCGGAACCGTAAGCTTTAAACCCTCGGATGGACCTATACAGTTGTAGGGCATAGTAGGGTTGGGTCCAAGAGCATCCTTTCAGGTTTCGGCTCTCTGAAATTCAAGGTCGTGGTTTGTTGCACCGAGATCCTTGCTTGGGCAATTCCATCTGTCCGGGGCCCTCTGGAAAAATGTTGGGCGTTCCATGCACAAAGAAACAACCTCTTGATGCCCATGAAGTCACTCCCTGTCTGAGAGTGCGTTTTAATGTCTTACCCTGCGTACGGTGTCGATTTGCAATGTGGACTTGCCCCGCGTAATTTTGGGCCGAGCATGCCTCTTGCAATGGAACATGCGACATCTTGGCGAATTCTTTTCGGCCGTGAATGCGCGAGCGCGTGCCTGTTGTGCGTTGCCCGTAGTCTTCTTCCAAATCGCCCCAAGAGTAGTCTTCCTTTCAAGGGGATCTTCCTGAAGGCAGATTCTTGTGTTCTTCTGCTGAGGCAAGCATGAGGCGGAGGCCAAGTATTTTTCAATGCTCGGTGCAGCATGTTGAAGTATTTTGTGTCTGCTGGAGACTCAGGTTGAGTGGACGCGCATGTCTTCCACTGCAGCTGACCTCATTCAGTCCTGCCTGGTGGTCAATGGCTTTGATCGTCCTCCAGACTGGGCCTCAGAAGCAGGGTTCGATTTTCCTGCTTGGGATCGATTCAGCATCTCAACTAAGGCTCCGGTCCCTGTATCCACTTTGCTTGGCGATGTGTGTGTGTGAGGCAATGAAGATCTTAAACCATGGAGCGCTCCAAGGCAAGGTCTGTGTGTGTGTGTGTGTTTGGGTGTCAGCCCAAGTGTGTGGTCGTGCCATCTCTACTTGTGTGTCTCAAAGTTTGCGTGTCTGCATTGGGTGGTTGAGCTCCAAGCGAGTTTCCAGGTGCTGCGACCGATGTGCTGCCGATGTTGGCAAAGCAACTCCCTTTTTGTACTGGCAAGCATAAGCGTTTCCGAATGCAGAGAGAGGCGCCTTCTGCCGAATCTCATATGAGGCAAGCTGCCATGGAGGGCAGACAGAAGTCAAAGCCTGCCAGCCTTGCACAGACCTATGGCCGAGCACTTGGTGAATTTGCTGCGAGAGTTCGCAATACAAAATCGAAGTCGCACTCCACCGCATCTGTTCAATCACCATCTGGGAAGTGCAATAGTTTGACATGTGCTGAGGTGCTCTGTGCAACCCTGGACGGTGGCTTGCCTCAGCAGTGACACTCTCCTCCCTGAAGTCTCCCGCTCTCATGCCAAGACATTTCTGCGAGGCGGGTCAGCTTTCATGGCTATGTCTCGTCGCCATTGGCCGCTTGAAAGAAAGCCAGCGCAGCTAAGTCGAGAACCTCAAAATGCCCGAAGATTTCAGGCTTGAGCTGGTAGACTTCAATCCCTGCATCCTGCAAGCCTTAATTGCACAGTTTAAGGAAAAACCCTGTTCTGTCCGAAGCCTGCAGTATCCGGTATCCATGTACTCCGAAGCCGGGTGCTCCATGTTTGAAAGCACTCACCGCCTGAGCTTAAGTCTGGAGAGGCGCAACACGTGAAGCTCTGGGCCCTAAAACCTCAACCCTCAACCCTCAACCCTAAACCCTAAACCTTCAATCCTAAGCCCTAAGCCCTAAACCCAACCCTAAACCCTATTGCCCAGCCTTGGCACAATGTCTCTTCGTCCATCCTTGAATCCTGACCTGATACAGCGAAGTTTCCGAATCTGTGATTGACGACTTAGTGCTGATAGTACGTGAGAACCAGTGCCTCAGTTTCCGAACAAGGACGCTTACCGAAATGAGTCTTAGTTTTCGAATCATGAGTTTCTGAGTAAGGCGTCTGGGTGTGACTCTCCACGTGTTCTAATGACTGGTGCACGCTGCGGCTGCGTGTGTGAGAAGTCGTTGCAAAAACTCCTGCTGTTTGCAGAGAACTTGCAGAGATCCGCCCGTTTAGGAGGAGGGATGTGCCTGGCCAGGGGTTCCCCACAGGAGGGCTTGTCCGCTTGCAACCAATGCTGCAGAACGCAGCAGGCGTGCCGCAATGCTGCAGTGTTCCACACAAGCTACTATTTGCTTAAGACCCCCAAAAGTATGAAAAAATATAATCCCCGTACTACCCTCAATAAGGAAGAGCATTGTTGTTTTTTTCCGGCTTCTTAAGGAATTAGTAGCAAGGTCTCGCGAAGATCGGTGCGTCGCGCTACCTCCTTGCCGGTGGTTCTCGCCGGGACGTGCACGTGCCTTGCCTTTCGTTGATTCGAGCCTCATGTCCGCTTCTCCTGGCTGCTTAGGGTTTAGGGTTTAGGGTTTAGGGTTTAGGGTTTAGGGTTTAGGGTTTAGGGTTTGCGGTCTTGCAACCGGATGTGCAAGGACATCCTCATGGCGGTCGCGACGCCCTGAATTGTTGAAAAGCCGAAGCTGCGATGTGTAGAAGGGCCAAAAAAATCATTGCCTTTCGTGTTTTAATAGGCAGACACCGGGCCATTTTCACGGAAGGCCCAGGGATGCCCATCTCTATGAGCGGTGCAAAGCCAAGTGGCCAAGCGGTGCCAAGCAACCGCTGGTGTACCAACATCTTGAAGTGCGTGAGCTGGCAAAGCCTGTCTGAGGGTGTCGGGTAGATGAAGCTGAATGGGCTGAGATCATAAGACGAGCTGAGCCACAGGCAGTGTTCTTCTAGCCAGTCGGAAGAACGGTTCCTCGGATGTATAGAGGACTGAGGACCAGAACTTGGGGGTTTTCCGAAATTTGCGGGGTACCTTATTCGGGTCCCTCATTACATAAGGGGGATCCTTCTATGTGGGGGATCTTTATCTGGGGGTCCCCTATTTTTCGAAAGCCCCCGTTTCGATTTCCTTCCGGGAAGCTGGGCTTCCCACGACGTGAGTCGACGAAGGTGTTCCTCTCCCATCGACCAGGTCATGTCTCACCATCTGGGGGTTTTGCGAGATTGGGGGGTAGGGTTTAGGGTTTAGGGTTTAGGGTTTAGGGTCTAGGGTCTAGGGTCTAGGGTCTAGGGTCTAGGGTCTAGGGTCTAGGGTTTAGGGTTTAGGGTTTAGGGTTTAGGGTTTAGGGTTTAGGGTTTAGGCCTTCTTGGGGTCCTTATTTATAAGGTAATCCTACTGTTTGGGGGTCTATATCAGGGGTCCCCTATTTTCGTAAACCACCATATCGTCCCGGTAGCCGGCCGGGTTGTGTCTAGAAGTCCATTACTTGTAGCGTCCTGGTCTCTACTTCTCGCATCTTGGCGTGAAGGCGTGAAAAGGTTTTGATATAGGCAGCCAGGGCGATGGCATCTGACGTTCGGTCCCTGCATCGCGTTCAATGATCCCAGGATCAGCGGCTCCTGTCTTTCACGTCTACGCTCTCTGTTGTGGCCGTGATATTCGCGCGCGGCCTACTGGAGCTGTGCACTTCCTGCAAAGGCACTTGAAAGAGGACGCGTGCGTGCCTTTGTGTGGTGACAACTCCTACTGAGCTCCTCTAGGTGTGCTTGAGTGATTCTCTATGCACACGTTCATTGTTTATGATCTTCGCTCTTCTCTGTTGCCAACCAGGGGAATTGCGGTGCTAGTGAGGTCCTCCCATGAAAAACAAAGGAACCATGCTTCCTGTGAAAATCCGACGAAACGGGGCCAAACAGAAACGCTTCTCATCGTCGTCTATTCTCAGCTCGCCATAACATACAGATAACATGCAGACTTTTCCGATGACAAATGTAGGTGTTCCGATTAGCACATAGAGGAACAGCGGTTCTCTTAGTAAAAAATAGAGCGAGCGTTTTTTTTGCAAGATGTACAGGAAATATAGTTTCCCTCACAGTGTAGATGCCTATAGGTTTGGCGGCAACACAAAAAGGACATCGAGGGTTGCTTCAAAACTTTGGCACTTTAGGCAAAGGGCTGGTGTGGTGCGGTGATTTATATTGTTGGGCATGCACGAACGTGTGTGTGATTGTGTGTGCAGTGTGTATATGGATGTATATATATATATACATACATACATACATACATACATAATATATGTATAGGTTGGTGAGGCGTTATTGTATGTCAAACACCTTTCGCGCACAAAACCTTTAGACGAGCTTCAAAGTGGCCCGGATGGCGACCCTACGTTCATCCTCATGTCTGTTGGCATTTTTGGCATGCGAGGATGAGCTGGAACCCCAAGAGTTCTGAGAGTCACGAGGAGGGCGGCTCCCACAGTCCCCATCCTCGTGGCGGCACGATCCTCGTGACGATCAGCACGTTTAGCTTTCGAAGGAAAGGAACATTAGAAGGACCTCAAGAAGTAGGCGCGAATACGTGCGAAACACGACCACCTGCAATGTGAACGTCCTCTAGTGCTTCAAAGATGGCACATCGGATGCTCCTTCCTTCCGACCGACAGAGATCGATGCATCGCGTGCGATTCCGAGCATGTAAACCAGCTGAAGGTTCCTCCGTCACGTTTTGGGAATGCTCGTTGTGCTTTGCTGCGAAGCCTCCCGGAAAACATCTTTCCCACCTGGCGCGTCAGAGAATCGGATGCGACATCCGTAGACCGATATAGACCGATGCATGGACAAAAACGTTGTTCACCTTTGCGGGTTTTCTCCTTTTTCGGGACAACTCCAGCTCAACTCCTCTTCGTTTGCCTAAAGTTCCTCCACGCCCGCTTTCGTGATGCTCGCTGACGGAGCCTTAGGCTTCGATATGAAGCGCAGACTCAAATTGCGGGGAACCGTGGGAACGAAAAAACCCTGGCCAGCCCCTTTCCGTTGGAACCAAGGTCAGTACAAGAACCAAAACAACCCCACGTGTGCGTGCACAAACGCCCTGGGCCTTGACACCTCGGTTGAAAGGGGGACCCTTAAAAGGGAACCCTTCTTAACCCTCTTCTGGATCTCTTGACAAGGGGCTTTATTCTGAGGGTCTATATCCCCCAAAAACCCCCCTAGTCCTATCCCCTAAGAATGTGGCAGCTTTGAAGCACGGGATGGATCTGCATCACGCGTGTGTATGATCGGAACTCGCTGAAGGTATTCGGCCTGGTGATATCCGTGTTCATGCGAGACCACGAGGTGCTGTGCCGATGTGCTCGTGTTCAGCCTCGGATGGTTTCAAAGGTTCATATTCGTATCATATGGCATCATGGTTTAAAACTGGTTAACACGCTAAGCAGTTGAGCTTCTCGAGCTTCCCAAGCCATGATGGCACGTGAACATCACCGGTGTGACCGGCTTTGTGGCTCCCCAAGTTGTAGTCGTTAAAAAAAGAGGAGAGCTTTCTCTGACAAGAAGAGTTGAGGGGGCGGAAGAGAGCACAACTCATGGTGGCCAGAGCAAAGCGCGGTAGTCGAAACCTTTTCATCTCGGTCCTCATCGCCGGACTTGCTGGGCTTGCTGGCCTTGATTTCGTCACCTTCACGTCGGCAAAGACCTCCACAAGGGCCTCGCCTTTGCGCAGAGCCCAAAGCCAGAAGGGCTCAAAGGCCCCAGCAGGGTCGGTAGTGGATGCCGAAGAGGTCCTTCCGATTTCCTTCTCGCTGACTGTGGGAGGCTTTAATTCCTCCGTTCCGCTCTCAGATGCCAAAGTTGCAGTCATCACAGGTGCCTCCACAGGTATTGGCCTGGCAACTGTGGAGGGCCTGGTGCGATCCGGCATGTACAAGTCTATCATAATGGCGGGACGGGATGCAGACAAGCACGAAAAAGCCATGGAGAGTCTGCGTGAGAAGGTCGGCACCCTGAAGCAGGCAGTGGAACTCCGATATTTGCCCTTGGAACTGGCATCCTTGAAGTCGGTGCGGGACTTTGCCCAGTCTGTGAAGGACTTGGTAGCCCAGTGGTACCCTTTTCCCTTTTTTTGGGTTCCGGGTTCCCTTAGACAGTAACCAACCCCAAAAAGGGTGCCGGTATTTTAATATGGTTTCTGGGCTACTACCAAGAGGATCAGCAGACGCCGATACACACGCTCATTCTGAATGCCGGCGTCATGGCACTTCCAGATCGCAAGGAGACGGAGGACGGCTATGAGTACCAGTTCGGAGTGAACCATTTGGGTCACTTCTTGCTGGCCAACCTTCTAATGGACAAGTTGGCCCAGGGTGGGTCTGCGGCTGATCCTGCTCGTGTGATCTCCCTCAGCTCAAGCGCTCACCAGATTCCCTCGAAACTCCTGAAGGGCGACCTCGGGGACCTGCAATCCTATGAGTATTCTGCCTGGGGGGCATATGGGCAGTCGAAGCTCGCGAACGTCATGTTCGCGTATGAGTTGGACCGGCGATGCCGCGAACGCGGCCTGCCCGTGGTGGCGAACGCAGCCCACCCAGGAGTCGTAAACACAGAGCTGGCCCGGTACATGGGCGCCGGCCCGGCTTCCCAGCTAATGGCACCTTTTGCGCCCCTGAAGGATGTGGCCCAGCCACTCCTCAACTACGTACTGAGGTCACCAGAAGAGGGCGCCAAGACATCTTTGGTGCTGGCGACTCAGTCAGAGGGAAAGCTCTCAGGCCGCTACTGGCAGGATGGTCGGCCGACGGCCTCTGTGGACTTCGACCCTGCCAGTGACTTGCCAGGACCAGCACTTCAGCTCCTCCCCTTCCGACCCAAGCTCACATCTTATGACCCCAAAGTCTGGGCCGACCTTTGGACTGAGAGTGAGCTCCTTGTGGGGCTTCGGCCAGAAGATGTGACTTGCTTCAGCAAGGCGGACTAATTAAAGAAGTGGGGCTGCGTGGGTGCCACTGCGTGTGGCCGTGCGAGATCGCGTGAGTACAGCAAGCCGGTCGCCAGCGGAACTCAGCCGCGCACACTCAGCCACGCAGCATATCCGAAGAACACCGAAGGTGTGATTCTCACCGGCGGCTTTTCCACCGCTGTTTTCCTCCCCATGGGAGCAATTTTCAGTCTTCTGGTTGCGGTAGCTGTTGTGGTCCTTGTGCATTAGATAGGGGTCTGAAGCTCAGATAAGCTCGGATCATGGGCAGCCGGAGTTGGACCAAAAGCTCGAGTGCTCGGCATGTGCAAGATGCGCAAGACTGTGGGAGACAACTCTGCGTTCGGAGTTGCCAGGCCCAGATTCCGAACATCTGCATGGCCGGCGTTTCATGGGGAAGTGCACCTTGGATGCGAGGATTCTAAGTTGAGAGTTAGGGTTTAGGGATTCTAAGTTAGGAGTTAGGGTTTAGGGATTCTGAATTAAGAGTTCGGATTTAGGGTTTAGGGTCTGCCTCTTGCCATGTCGCCGCCTGGTGTCCAGTAGGTCTCGATGTTTGCGAGCATGATGCAGACGGTCGTTCTGCAAATGCCTACGCCTCGTGGTGCGTGGCGCCAAAGGGACTCCTGTACTAGCCTGGAATGAAGATGGACTAAGGTGTGTGCTCCCGATGTATGGTGAGATGAAAGACCGATCGCCAGGACAGCCTACATGACATGGTTTCTCGCCAAGCCCGCCAAGTGTCCTGAGTTCGCCAGGCGGTTTCGCGAAGGTTGTGTACTGGGGCTTTGGTGTTCTTTTCGCTGTCTGCCACCCTGGCACATTTGTCCGACATTAAGGGGTACCTCATTGGGGTCCTTGCTTTCAGAGAATCCAACCATTTGGAAACCCTAAACCCTAAACCCGAAACCCTAAACCCTAAACCCTAAACCCTAAACCCTAAACCCTAAACCCTAAACCCTAATTTTAGGGTTTTCGAGTTTAGGGTCTGTATCTTGCTTCTGGACGCTGTGCAGAATTGCTGCACTCAGCCAGGTGCCAGCTTTGCGCTGCTGGGGTACCTGACCTTCGGCCACGCAGCCGCACATTCCACTGCAAGCTGTAGAAGGAACTTGGGATGTTCCCCCTGATACGAGCAAGCCTTAATAGGGATTGTAATAGGGGGGGTGCTTGACTCCCTCTTAAGGACTGTTAGTATCAAGAATGAGCCCTTGTGCCCTTTAACGCGAGCTGAAGCGCTCGCAACTCCTCCTTTGGCCTACTTCTTGGCGTACTTCGGACTAGCCGGAGTCGGCCATATAGGGGTTTACGAAAATAGGGGAACCCCAATATGAACCCCCGAGTCGGCTTCTTAATAATAAGGACCCCAATAAGGTACCCCTCAAATTTGGGAAACCCCCATAATGAACTTGACATGACAAGGTTCGGAGGTGAAGTCGAACGTCCTCCTCTCGCTGCCTACAAGTCGTGGGCTCGTAGCACATGGCCCTCAGGTCTGTCTTCGCAGCTGCTCTAGCTTGACTTGGGAGTTTACATTCATGAAAGACCCTAATATAGACTCCCAATCGTAGGATCCCTTTATCGAAAGGACCCCAATCTGGTACCCCTATTGCTTTGCCAAAGGACCTGTGGACAGTTCCACTTTCGGAAAGTTTCAGCCTCGAAGGTAAAGTCAAAATGCCTGCTGAGGCCCTGCTGGCAACTGGGCCCGCCTTTGCGCAGGGGTGGGCCACCCATCGTCAGCTATCCACAAATCTTGGAAAGCATTGAACCTCGCTGGATAACATCACAGCCTCGTTAAGGCCAGCGTGGTGGGAGCCATCTGCTCAGCCTTATCGTAGCAGCTGCATGTGGATGGAGTTGGCCATCGCGACCAGGTCTATCCCATCATGCTGAAACCGATGATTGCAACTCTCTGTCAACCAGGTTTGCACTCCCTGTTGCTTTATTTCCAGTCTGCTGGGGCGCCTATGTGTGAGGAACGCGGGATGATGAAGCGACAGCCCTCTGGGCCACAGGCCGGGATCTCTTGTGGTTTTTGCCATGAACTGGTCACACAAGCCCCCGCTTCTGCAAGCCAGGCTCGGTAGTGGGGTGTGCCAGGAGCCCAGAGCCACAGCTTCCAGCTAGACGTACCTAGCAGTAGATGATATAAATATCAATATAGATATAAGGAAATAAATAAATAAATAAATCAATATATATATATATACATATAATAGAATAGAATAGAATAGAATAGAATAAAATGTAATATATATATACATATATATATATACTCAGGTTTTATTGAACGTGCAAGGTAATGCTCGCCTCCTTGTTTCTTTCCGACCTCGGGAAGCTCAACATCTTCAATGGAGCCGTGTCCATGGGTGCTGTCCGAAGTCTAAGCATGATTGACCCTCATTTTGTACTGCAAGTGGCTAGCGGCCCAATCCTGGGGTCATGGGAGGTGTCTTTGTGGCCATCGTTCCCTTTCTGGTTGGGTCGGGCACTCACGTTGAGTGTAATGAACTGGTTTATGCTGAGTTTCGAAATCTTAACTTGCTTTGCGCCACGCACTGCGGCCGAACAGTTCTGCAACACGGTCGGACATGTCTTTCCTCCATCGTCTTGCTAATCACAATGCTCAGAAGTTTCAAATGGTAGCAAGAAACAACTAGCAAGAGCTGACAGTAAGAATGACCATCACAAGAATCATGGCTTTCAGCAAGAACATAGTGTTTCTGCAGAACAATGCTCATGCTCATACGATGACTCGTGCTCGGACGGATGCTCATACCAGTACTATTTGCGATGCTTGTGCTACTAGTACCACCACCACCACCACCACCACCAGCACCACCACCACCACCACCACCACCACCACCACCACCACCACCACCACCACCACCACCACCACCACCACCACCACCACCACCACCACCACCACCACGAGCGCCACGAGCACCACGAGCACCACGAGCACCACGAGCACCACGAGCACCACTAGCACCACTAGCACCACTAGCACCACCAGCACAAGCACCAGCGCCAGCGCCAGTTCCAGCGCCAGCGCCAGCGGCAGCAGCAGCACCACCACCCCACCACCCCACCACCCCACCACCCCACCACCCCACCACCCCACCACCCCACCACCCCCACCCACCACCCCACCACCCCCACCCACCCCCCACCACCCCACCCCCCACCCCACCACCCCACCACCCCCCCCACCACCACCACCCCCCACCACCCCACCACCCCACCACCCCACCCCACCACCCACCACCCCACAACCCCACCACCCCACCACCCCACCACCCCACCACCCCACCACCCCACCACCCCACCACCCCCCACCCCACCCCCCACCACCCCACCACCCCACCACCACCCCACCACCCCACCACCCCACCACCCCACCACCCCACCCCCCACCACCCCACCACCCCACCACCCCACCCACCACCCCACCCACCCCACCACCCCACCACCCCACCACCACCCCACCACCCCACCACCCCACCACCCCACCACCACCCCCCCACCCCCCCCACCCCCCCCGACCCCACCACCCCACCACCCCACCACCCACCACCACCACCCCACCCCACCACCCCACCACCCCACCACCACCACCACCCCACCACCCCACCACCCCACCACCCCACCACCCCACCACCCCACCACCCCACCACCCCACCACCCCACCACCACACCACACCCCCACCACCCCCCACCACCCCCCACCCCCCCACCCCACCCCCACCACCCCCACCACCACCACCACCCCACCACCTCACCACCCCCCACCCCACCACCCCACCACCCCCCACCACCACCACCACCACCACCAACCACCACCACCACCACCACCACCCCACCACCACCACCACCACCACCACCACACCGCACCACCCACCACCACCACCACCACCACCACCACCCCACCACCACCACCACCCCACCACCAACACCAACCACCAAACACCACCACCACCCACCACCACCACCACCCACCCACCACCACCACCACCCACCCACCCACCCACCCACCCACCCACCCCCCCCCCACCCACCCACCCACCCACCCACCCACCCCCACAACCCACCCACCCACCCACCCACCCACCCACCCACCCACCCACCCACCCCACCCACCCCCCACCCACCACCCACCACCCACCCACCACCACCACCATGAGCACTAGCATGAGCACCCTCTTCTACAGTAGTTAGTAGCAGCAGTCGTGGTAGCAGTGGTCGTCGTGGTCGTGGCCGTGGTCGTCGTAGTAGGAGCAGTAGCATCAGCGGTAGCAGGAGCAGACGCAGCAGCAGGAGCAGTAGCGGTGGGAGCATGAGGAGCCAGGGAGCAGCAGGGAGGAGTTGGAGAAGTAGGAGGGCTAGGAGCAGGAGGAGTAGGAGTAAGAGGGGTGTGAGGAGGAGGAGGAGGAGGAGTCCTAGTCCTAGTCCTAGCCATCGTCATCGTAGCAGATATCGTACAGTGACGCGTGGTAGTACTGCTACAACTAACATCACTAGAATAACGAGTATGACCATTTGCATATCTGTATTTGCAGTCACAATATTGATAGGAATAACAACAGATTCCTGTCAACTGTTGGTACTTGCGTTTAAGAGTTCAAACACAGGGCGTCCGATGCCATCCGTGGATGACTTGCATGGCACTGTCAGTTGCATAGCTGGCAGGTGCAACCTGCTTCAGCGATTCGAGCGAAAGGCAGCGCCATCCTTAGCATGCAGAAGGTGAAGTGTTCAGCGGTTGCTCCGTTATGCGTCATTCTGTGAGGGCCGTGGGGCATATGCGCACCGCAAATCATCACAAACCCTAAGCCCTAAAGCCCTAAGCCCTAAGCCCTAAACCCAAAACCCAAAACCCTAAACCCTAAACCCTAAACCCTAAACCCGAAGTACTCTCGTGCTTTGCCACCAGGCCTTGTACCTTCTGCTGATCCTGGGACTGCTTGGCAGTGTGCTGGCTCTCATCCTGGTCCGTC